GGGGGGTAATGTTACCAAGGCAAAGAAAGATTTATCACTGTTTCTTTTTGTATACAAAGATCTGGCTTTAAACAGGCTTTTTATTTTTTGTAATTTCTTTGGGTATTTTATCTTCACGTTTGCCATATTTCTCAAAAAATTTCAGTGGGTATCCGTTATTCCTTAAACACTATTTAACACTCATAACTTCCTCTTCTAGTGTATCGGAAGTACATATTCTTTCTGTTCTGTGAAACAATGATTTGGCAAGTGCCTTTATATAATTGTACAAAAGCTGTTGAAATTGAGATAAATCCCATCCCATGTGCCTTTCTTATAAACTGAACGTTGAACTGTACCATCCTTTCTTCGTTTCATCGCGATAGCGAGAAAATGGAACTTGTTTTCCTTTTCATGTTCCATAGTAAAATGAATATTTGGATGAGCTTCACTGATAAATTTAAGCAGATTTGTTGCATGTTGTTGATTATTACATACGATGAAGGTATCATCAACATACCTCGAATAATAAGTCATTTCATCAATCGCTCATTTGAGCTTGGTTCTTTCGAGGTTCGCCATGAAAATGTCTGCTAGGACAGAGCCTAACGGACTTCTCATTGCTACACCATCGGCTTGTCGGTATATAGAATTGTTGAACTGAACATCTTTTGTACACATGAGTAACAGTCGTTTAAATTCTATTGCTGGTAGAGGTAGGATGTCAGGATGCTGACAAATTATGTCTGTGGTTTCAGGTAGTGTTATTTTTGTAAAAAATGATGTCACATCAAAAGAAACCATAAACTTACCAGCAATATTTGTGATTCCTGCTGTCAGCAGATACAAATGAATCCATTAGTGTATAGGAGGCTAATCGTTGACGAATTGGTTCTAATTTATCTGCCAGCCATCGTGCAACTTTGTGGTGTGGTGAACTGACCATTGACAGAATAAGTCAAAGGGGATTATCTTGGTTATGTATTTTCAGGAAAATAATACATGTGTAGCAAATGAGACCCTTGAGGTCGTAGGTTATTGTAAGTACAATTATCGATCATCTTCTTCTCTGGTAGGTCTCTAAGTACTTTGGTGATTCTTTTCTCAATGGAATCAGTTAAGTCTTTGTTACTTTTTTCTAACTTGAATCTCGTATGTGTAATTTTACTCTGGGCATCCAAATCACCCAAAGCTATTTCGTGTAACACTCGCTAACTCTACAGACGTTATCCAACTATCTAGTCACTTACTGAAATCAGATGGGAATGTAAGAATACTGCTTGAAATACCGTATTCTGAGCTCAATATCGTCCGGAACATCCCTAAGGAATCTCGCGAGTTGTCCTGTGGAAGTAATGTCATTGTGCAAGGTGTGCCGGAAAACACGGACCCTGACCACACAAACTCTGATATTAGGGAATGGAAAGTCATCAAGAACTCTTTAAAGCTCAAAAATATATTGACTCAACAAGTGATGAGACTTGCCAAGAAGGGTGAAGATTTTAAACCCCGGCTGATAAAGATAACCTCCCCATTCTCTCATATCGCGGATGCAACTCTGGAGGCATCCCGTACCAGCAGACCTGGGATCCATATGCATCCGGATAGGCCACATGACGCCAGGATCAAGCATAAAGGGAAGTTGGAGCTGACCATTCCACTTGTGGACTGTCTTAATCATAAAAGAACAAGGGCTACCGACACTGAAAACCTTGTGTAGGTAGGCTACATGTTCACCCTGTTAGGTCACGATAAGCATAATGAATGGTAACTTTTGAAATCCATTTATGGACCAATAATATGAGCATATTGCTAAATAATTAAACTATTCATATTCATGTCCCTCTTATTATGAGTTTCGTTTGGATCTATGCACTATTACTGTACGATTTGCCATTCTTGAATTATGCCCTGTCTATTAATTACTAGCTCCCACATTTACGGCCACATTCGGCCAAATCTTGTACAAATGTTGTTTCATATAATATGGTACGATCTGGTCTGTCTTGTTGGTATATAAATCCATTATGCTTGAAATAAATGACTCATATTGCAGAGGCTGAGATTGGTGTTCTGGTCTTAAATGGCTGGGCTAGGCGGAAAGCTGTACCAATCAGGACTCTAGACTTCTCGCACGTGTTTTATGCGTCATTGGTCCGGTTGGTAATTCACTGTCCTCTAGTTAGCGGTATCGTTACGTCATACATTAACAGGACACACAGGCCACAAGTTATAACACACCCACATACGACTCACAAAGACAAACAGGACGTGGAACGTCACGCGTTTCAAATTGTAAGCATAATCTGCTTCCACATGAACGCCGCGAGTTTATCGAATAAAATGGATGAGCTACGTGAACTCAGTAATGCTAAAATTCCTCATCTGATAGAAATATCTAAAACTTGGATATTTTCTCAGTTTACGGACCGAGAGCTAGCGATAATCGGGATGTCTTCGTTTTGCAATGTCAAAAAAATAGGAATTGAAGATGGAGTTGCCTTATACTTACTATCCTGCATGGAGGTACATCAAGTGCACAACCGAGAGTTTATCATTCTTGATGAATCCGTATGGTGCTCAGTAAGATTGTCCTCCACCTCGAAGTGTTAAGTTGGAGTCATCTACAGGAAGCCCATTGCTGACATCGAGTACGACAGTCGTATGCTGGGATGATTATACCTCTCTATTCATCTCGGATTCACTCGTATCTCGATTCTAGGGAACTTCAGTCTTCTTAAAGTCAATTTCACGAATCATACGTATATTGGAGGTGAAAACTCTACTGAAGCTCGGTTATTCAACCCCATTGAGGATCCGAATTGTTGGAAAAGTCAACAACTTGTTAGACGAACAGTCAGACGCCGTCACACTTAGGCTGTGTACGTACAAACGAAGAATCCCTAATTGATAACCTCTTAATCCTGGCTCCCTTAGGGAGATGCCATTACGCCGTCCTAGCCTTTAGTTTTACCAGGAAAACTGAGCTAAGACGCCCCACTCTCCCACTCTTCGTTTGTTAATCTGCAAAAGACACTGTTGGGCAGAATACAAACGAACTGATAACAACGGTGCATACAGGCAATACAGACATATCAGGAACATATGCACGAAGGCAATAAGAGAGGACAGACTTCAGTACCAGATAAAGCTTAACTCCAATCTGAAAAACTTATTCCGTTATGCAGCCTCTTTTCAACAAGACAAAACTGGAGTTCCCCAACCGTTAGGTCCTGATGGCCCGAATAATGGTGACGGTGACGCCTCTAACCTTCTAGCTGGACAGTACTCTCGGACATTTCAACCAACCTACATTAACTATATTGATGAAAGCTACCGGAAACTGCAGCACCTATAAAAGGACACTTCTCCTGGTCCAGATATGGTTCATTCTGCTATACTGAGGGAAGCAGCTTCAATCCTGGCAACATCGCTTAGCGTGATGTTCTCACATTCGCTAAGACGAGGCATATTACCGGAAATTCGGAAGATGGCCCTCATCACACCAATCTTCAAAGGACGTCGACGCAGCGAAAATTCAAGCTACCAATCGGCAGCTCTTCTCCGTATACCTTCGAAAATTATGGAGTCCCTGATATGCGACGATATACACGACTATGTATTAAATTAAATTTCTTTTCACCCCAACGACGTGGTATCAGGAATGGTCTTTCTTGTATAATCAACCTCCTCACTTTGGTGGACAGATGGACAACCATCCTTGATTGCAAGGGGAGGGTTGACGTCATTTACCTTGACTTACCAAAAGCTTTTGATAGGGTCAACCATATATGTCTTATCAATAAGCTCAAACATTTGAGTGTCGAATCATCTTTAAATGGTTGGCCCACCTCATATCTAAATATTGACATTTCAAGATCAGGGTTAACCTCACTTTAACTCAGGCTATGGAAGGTCCTAGTGGGGTCCCCCAGGGTTCAGTACTAGGACCTCTTTTCTTGATTCGTATAAACGATCTTCCACACCAAGTATCATTAGACTTATTACTTTTTGCTGATGATGTGAAACTTTGGGGAAGTATGAGCAACCAAGAGGACACACTGACACTTCAGGAGGATCTGACTCGATTTCGAAGTTGGGCAGATGACAAGGGACTAAACTTTAGCACTTCAAAGTGTTAAGTAGCCCATCTGAGACATGTTGCAAACTACGGTTACAATTTAGGAAACTCCTCTCTAGAAGTATCTAAAGTTGAAAAAGATTTAGAAGTGCTGGTACCCTACGACTTGAAGTCGCGCGCTAACTGTGACAAAAATGCCTTTCGAGCAAACCCTGCAGTGGTAACATTGAAGAGCATTTTTGGCCAGTTTGACGAAAGAACTTTCCACATAATCTTCAACTGTTTTTTTGTCCCAATTTAGAGCACGGAAACATGGTATTTCTTCCTCACTCCAAAAGGATAAGGACACTCCGGAGCGTATCCAAAGGCGAGCCACGAAATCAGTTCGGGAACTCAAATTCAAGCCCTATGAAGAGCGCCTCCAATCACTAAAACTTTACCCATTAGAGCATAGGCGTCCTAAAGGTGACCTCCTAATGGCTTCCAGTATCCTTAACACTTCTGAACATCCCCTTAAAAACCTACTTAAGTTTAGCTCCAACACGAACCTAAGGGGTGACACCAGAAACTGGAGACATAACACAGCAGAACGGACTGTAGACACAACATCTACTCCTTAAAAGTTGTAAAATGCTGGAATTCGCTGCCAACTGAGCTAGTCCAAGCGACTTCTCAGGAGTCCTTTAAGAAGAAACTTGGATTATTCTTAAGGACTAAGGATAGTATCTTACTATGATTTACCAATTTCTTTTTCTTCTTATATCATTAATATACCTAGATTCCTGCATGAAGGTATTGGTGATCCATTGTTACAAGACACGGAAGCCCGTTAATCGAAAGCTTCTTCTATACCGTTGACAACCATTTGAACCATTTGAACCTTGTCGTTTTAACTTTCTTTAAGGATGACCATGAACAATTCAAATAAACGGGAGCACTAATGGGATTCACATCATTTTTGTTGTATGTCAACTAAATTGTTTATCTAGTGACCCTCTAAAAGTTTTATTCTTATATATTCCCAATGCTTAGTTGTAAAACTTTCAGAAGGAGATGTCAATGAGTTGAATAGTGTTGAAGCATTTGTTGGTGACCAGTAAGTAGGCTTTATAATATTTTCATATTTTGTTGATAGATCAAAATATGATGACATAAATGATAATGTAAAGTAGGTTTTATTTTTACCTTGACTTTATGGGTGATTATAGTTTTGGTGACAAGGATACTCAGTCTGTTCGGGATTCGGAGGTGAGTTCAGAGTAATACTTTATTCCAAATGATTGAATGATGTAGTTGCTATTTGGAAAAGCTCCAGAACATAGTATATGTTATCTTGGAGAGCACCAAGTCATGTTTAGGTAACATGTCTTCAGGACATTTCATAAATTATAAGTTTGAGTATGCAGATCTAGGGATGTTTTGTAGTTCTTTTGATACACGATCTTTCGACTCGGGATAAACAAACTAAAATCTATGATCGTTGTCATCTGTACACAACGTGAGTCTTATATGGAGGAAACCCAATCAATCTGATTTAAGAAACAGCTTGTGTAGGAATTAAAAACGGATTTTTCTTAACCTCCTTGTTAATATCACGATCATCATAATTAAAAAATTGATTGAATACCTTTATTTCGCTAACTCCGCATAGATAGATTTCCCAGGGTGATTTTTTTACCAAATCTTACCTATTACTTGCAACTAATTTGATACAATTAATTTTTTACTAATCTTTGGGTAATCGGTCTTACTCAGACACATAGCACTTCGGTAGACCAGGAGAATAATGTGAAGCTCAGCCGCAAAGCTTCTCCTGAGTCACTGGATTCATTAGAGAATCAAGAATCTCCAGGGGCAGGTCACGCATCAAGTGAATCCATAATCCCTCCTAGGACAAATCAGGAATCAGCTGGACTTGACCACAAAGATGTTCAGGAGTCTATTCTAGAAGAACTGCCTTCATTGGATTCAGTTGCTGCAGAAGGTATTAACACACATGAAATCCCGACTTTCAATGAATTCCATGCAATGGTTTCAGAAAGGTCACAATCACGTAAAGGGCAAGGTTCGTGTGTTTTAGTTTTGTTTGTTAATTACAGAATTCTGATATCTGCCATATCTCGAGAGGCTGTATTCTTATTATTATATTAGTTGCACATTAGGTATGTTTTTGATAACTGGAGAACGAAATAGTGATCAAGCCGTGAGATACCTTCATGCCGTATGATTTTAATTCTAAACATTTTACACTGCTTGATCACTGGTTGGTAACTGAATAGTCATGAGATCGATCACTAGCGAGGAGGCAATCTATGGGAATCTCAGTCTTAAGGAGACTTGTCACAATCTGGCCAGTTCAGTGGTAACGTCTTTGACATTAAGGTAGGTGCTGCCTGTCCACCAACCCGATTTAAGCGTTAGACATTCGCTTTTCGTTATCTCAATTTCGTAAGCACTCATCATAATAAGGCAATGAGTAGGACTTTTGTTACGGTGGCTGTATACGCATGGCCATGTGAAAGCATTTGAAGGAGAACGGACTCTCCGCACATAATCGTATCAGGGCATTTGGCAGCCGACATAAGTTAGTTGAGTCATTGATATGTGATAAGAATTAAGTTCGGTAGTTAAACTTTAATTTATCATACTAGTGACCTACAAAGTCCATATATTCCAGTCACTTGTATTTCAAATGAGTTCTAATCGTGTGTTTTGGAGAATAATATATTGTATGTAAGCATATTCTTTCGCTATTGAAAGAAACCCGTAATGCTACCAGCTGTCTTGTTTTCTGATATCTGTTCATTTGTAGGCTCGCGTTAGTAATTTAGTTTCATGAGACATTATTATTTAGCCACATTGTCGTTAAATGTTAGTTGAGATTCTATTCATCGATTCATACAATCTCCAGTCTAATAGTTTTCCAGTTTGTTAAAAGTAATAGTAAAAGTGTAAGTGCCGTAGGAACTACGTTAGAAACAATGATTATGAAAATGGTCGGCTTTATATAATAATGTCAGTAGCTTGCTGGTTAAAGTACCCGATTTCCAGCTATTGGGTTGCAGTTTCAAACTTTTCTGTATCTAATTTTTGAACGGTTAGATAGTATAAATGCTCACATAAATAGTCTGGCTGCAGGCGTTTGGTGAGTGAGCTACATTCATTATTTACATATTTTGAGGCTAATATCAACAGTATTTAGGGTGAAATAGTACTAAAACTACCTATATGCGATTCCGATCATTTATTTGTTAAGAAGTACCTTTACTTATGCTTTGTTCCTGATAATTTTTTCGATTTAGATTGTGACGTTGTCGGAAATGCTGGTGTGACCGATTCTGACTATGATGTCAATATTAAACAAAAAATTAAGGCTTCACAAATTCCTCAGGGATCCGAAAAAATACTGCAAACACATAATGATGTTAATCCATCGGTTAAATCTTCGAAAATCAAATAATTCAAGATGTATCAGAAAAAAGTGTTTTCACAGATGATAGTTCGTTTTCCGATAATATCCAAAAAGATTCTGTTAGTGAACAGCATCAGTCTTTGCAAGTGAATTCTGTTGTGACGTCTAATTCAGAAACGAATTCCAAATCAAGTTCTCATGTTACTTCACAACCTGTAATCACCACCACAACCACCACCGCAGCAACAACAATAACTAACAATGGTGCTGTTCATACACCGAGCAAAATTGACTTAACTCTTCGGAGAAATGTCGCTTCTGTAGCATGTGGTGCAAAGATGTTAGGATTCAGTAGAGCGATAAAAAACCCTGAGGCTGTACTCAATGAAAACAATGATGAATATATGAATGTTCCGTGTAGCGAAGAAAAATGGTAATACCTTAAATATGTATATATACTTGTATACTATAATTTGTGAAGTCTCTTCATGTATCCGTTTTGAATTATTGTTAGGCATAACAGGCATTGTTTTTGTGATTTGGTTCATAAAATTGTAGCATGTCAGAGTTTTTTGAATGGCGTTTCACAAAGTAAATGATATTGGATTCTTCAAATGTATAACACTTGGAATTTGTAAATAGAAGTAAATCAATAGCGACTTATTGGGTAGTGGCACTTCCAACCAGTAGACCACTGGCTGTTTCACTTACTTAGGTTTGGAGAGTGTGTATCGTCACTAGCTGATATTTGAATCCGATTAGATAATGGTCAAATAATAAGCCCATGCGGCCCCCTAATGCTCTGGTACGGCCAAGAGTGGGGAGAGCCCGCTCTCCCTCTCGAAATGCTCTCACATGACCACGTGCATACAACCACTGCCAGGGAATTCCTACTCACTGCCTTCTCGTGGCATTACTGTTGTTTACGAAATTGAGAGGACGAAAAGCGGACGTCCGGCACTTTAACCGGGTTGGTGGACATGGAGGGTCCACCTAGGGGAGTTGAAAAACCCTGATTCCAAACTAATGGTACACATGGTCTCCAGTACCTTGAAGGAATAAATAGCGTATGAACTAATTGTTGGTCACCGGTTACCATGGGACTGCATCTCCTTACGTTGCTCCACTGCTTTGTGGATCAGACCTTCAGGTCGAAGGCTCTAGGTGTGGCTTCCTAAGAAAACCACCTGCTTCGGTTTGGTCATCCGGGCAGTATCACAACCCTCACACAAGTCAAGTGAGATCTGCGTGGCGCATATTTATCTGGTGCCTCCTTGTCCCAATATCTATGTGTTAAAATAAATAAAGTCCATGCGAAGTGCCATGGCGTGGTGTCCTTTTTTATGGAATGAGATACTCCATCGACGAAAAAATGTGGCTTAAATTTCCAAGAGATATATATAGATATATTTATATATATGGATATGTGAGTATGTAGTTACTTCTCGGTTCAGTTGGCCAATAAAATACTTTTTCTTAACTTTTATTCTTCCCAATTAAGTAGCCGGTTGGGCTCGCGAATAGGAAGCTCGTTTATCAGTATCCTAATTAGACACCACTCAAGATTACGCTAACATTTTTATAAAATGTTACTAAAAGCTAGGTACATAGGTCTGCATTTGATTGATTGGTTGATTGTCTGATCGGAATGTGTCAGCTGTTTCGTTAATCGATTAATATTAGAATCTCCTAGGAGCATTAGTAACTCCAATGCTACAAATAAGTCTTACCTGTGAATAAAAGTAGCCTTGGAATCTTGGTCTAAGTATACTGTCGATCGGTAGAATTCAATTACTATCACAGATTAAACGATACAGAATTAGCCATTAACTATTGATTGATGTAAATGTAGGATTTTTGAAATATAAAGTAGGCTATCCAGAAAATCTATTATTGATGGCTAAGCAATTCAATTAGCCACTCACTCTACAAAGGCTTCCTATATAACTTAAAAGAATGATGTCATTTATCAGTTCAAATGCATCTTATTAAACGTTTATTCGAGGTGTTGTCAGGACGTATGCACGAGATAGCTCAATTCAATGTCTACATATTTTAAGGTATTAGTTGATGTTTTGCCTGTTTTGAAATAATAATAAGGTATATTACAATTTATAATTTTAATAGGTTAATTTTAGAAGTATGCCAACCAGTTCATTACGGACTATAGAGCTGGCAAATTTTGAACTATTCTCATCACGGTTGAAATCGTTTCGAGTTTATGCTAACGATCGGTAAGGTATTTTTTAGAAATTCAACTATTAATATGTATAATTTGTTAGTTTTTGTTTACTAGAATTAATAGGAATTACTTTTATAGATAATGAATAGTGCAAACCAGTATCGGTCATGTAAATGATTGATTAGAATTATTATTTATGATACTGGACGGTTCTATTGTGAGTCTTTCATTGTTTTTCAATGTGACATCAGCTGATACTTTGGAAAAAGCATGTGCTAATTATATGAGACAGGTGTCGCTGATAATGGGATTTCATCTTAGCCTTTCTACGAAATAAAATCTCTGTTGTTTTAAAACTAATAGGAATTCTCTTTCAAAACAATTGTAGATATCCAGCAAAGTCCTGGGAATTGATTGGTACATTCACCGCTCGAGATGTTAAGGGAATACAGTCTTTCAGTGTTTATAGTGGAAAAATGATCAAATATGTTAAAGTAAGTTAATTGTATTTGAATTATAGTCGTTAGTCGTCCAGTTGAAAAGAGATACTATTTGTAGTTATATTTGACTAGATTTTCGTTTAAAGATTAAGAACAATAAATACATTTTCACATCGTTAGGTTCTCATTCATTTTTGCTTACAATTTGTAATGTTTCAAAGTCGAAATAGAGTTTAAAATATTTACAGAGATAAATTTTTGTTCGAAGTTAATGGAAACTCATACCAGCTTGCTGTAGTGTGACTTCCCTACCTTTTGCTTCATATATTTACTAAGATAAGTTGTGGAGGTGTATACAGTTCGACGATAGTTCGAATGAAAAGATTAAGAGAGATTTCATCCATTCAAGAAGGTTGGTCCTAATTTTATGAAAAAGTATATGATCTTCATTGGCTTTTATTCTAAGTAATGTTGGATAAAGTATCGAGACACTAAGTTGCGTAAACTTTGGGATTTCATCTAGGAAGTTATATTGGACTAGCAAGTGTGCAAAATTATTCAGAGATACTAATGATTAAACATAGGGTTACCAAAAATTGTTATTGTGAAGGGACTAGGTTTAACAAGCATATAACAAGATTGCTCTGAGTGCATAGGTCTCTATAGATTTCACTGCACATAGATTAATCTCGTTTGTCAACACCAGGATCCAAAGGGGTTCTCACATGCATAAACTTTCCAACTATTTTCAAGACGAACCAATAAACATTTAACATAGATACACCAGCTCTTCTTCATCCTTATAAAATTGATTTGAATTTCTATGGCTTCAAAGTGCACATGGCTTACTTACAAACAATAAATTGTCGTTAAGCAACAGAATTAGATGATAATCACCACTATCTTTTCAGCTGACTGAATTTGAAAAAAGTATATATATATATTAGTGTTTATCACGTGATTTTGCTTATGAATAATGATGTATCCTCTTGAGAAAAAAACAATAGTGATGGCTTATACAGATTATGCACTATGTATGTCATGAACACAATATTAGTAATGAAAGTGAGGACAGATGTTGAAATTTATGTTTACAGAACAGATAATAAAGTTTATCGTTTTTATTTAAATAGAATTGAATACGAATTTGAGGCTTTTTTTCTGTGGAAGGAACTAAATATAAGAGGAAATGGTCAACATCTTTTTTTTAAAGCTTTATCTAATCTACGGTCCAGCTGAATGTATTGTGTAAAGTATCTTAACATAGTGGTGTAGCTTCAATTGACTCATGATTTCAATCAGTGAAATTTCTAAGATCTCTACAAACCCCTTCTGATAATAATTTACTAGCTAAATCACATGGCCTTCAAGTTGAAACTCCACTTCAATTACGTCAGTGGAACGGTGACTCAGTGGCTAAAGCGTCTAGTTTTCAGCCACTAGGTATCAAGTTCGAACCCCGCCCCACCCACTTCAGTTTGATCAACTAGATAATATCACTAACCCTCACATTTCGAGTTTGGCTTAAAACTAAATACAGTAGTCTGCACCAAGTTATCGATTTACTAATTAGACTTCTTTTTAAACTGCTGGATATGACTACCCCTTCCGTGGTTGAATATGGTTGAAAGCCTAGTACATAAAGCTATAATTTGTGAGTTACACGATTATTATGTTGAGTTTCAAGCCCGCATAGTAGTTTTTTGTGATAAGGTATTGTATTGAGAAATACTACGTCTTCCTATTAGTCCAAAATGTTTACCTCTTTTTTTGATACAGTTCGAATTGATTGAACATTATGGTTCAGAACATTATTGTCCCTTAACTATGATTAGAATATTCGGTTTGGGTTCCGATGATCTAGATGATGATGACGATGTTGATGATGTTGATGTTAGATTAATGAATGTGCCAGAATCTACTTCAAATCATGGTTCGATGATTACTCCGACTAAGGATAAAAATCAACATTTGGAAAATCAAGAAAATGATATTATTGCTAAAGATGACAACGCAAGTATGTAGTTTGACATTATTGCTTTTTTAATTAATAATACCTGTTCATTTTCACATATGCAGCAGTTATTCCAGTTAATTCTAAGTATACTATCAAACCAGTTAGGATTGCGAGTGAATTTAATATCGTGGCACTCATATCAACCTAGGGTGATATTTATCAAGCCAGGATTTTTATCGTTGGTCGTACAATGACCAATTTCGTACAATAAAACATCAGTTACTCACAAAACGTTTGGTTACGAAAGTGGTACACTCATATGTGAATAAGAGAGGAAAATGACGATGTATAATTGCACAGAGACACGAGATGGAAGGATATTTCGCTGTTATGTTTGTCAGGGTTAATAATAATTTTAGAATTAGGATTTAGGCTTAGAATTGTAGTTATTTTGTGTTTAGGATTGGGGATTAGCATGTATATGAACTACATGTCAATCCTAACCTTTGACCATAGTTATTCTTCAATATTATGTAATATGACTGTCATTGATTGCCCAACACTATACTCTAAAAATTATATCTTAAAAACCATATCATTTACAAAAAGAGCTGTTCATTTGTACTGATACTTAATTTAAAACAAATTTTAGTCTGTTGTGTGCCCGTACACTGATAAGTCAATAAATGTTGAGTCTTTCATGAAGTATTCATAAATCATCTAAACTAAGACAATAAGTTGTCTGTTAAAAGAATGTGCTTATATATTGTTAACAGAGATTGATTAAACTCACTTTGGAATAACGGGAATACGAAAAATACATACACACATACAAACTGTTATAATAAATAATCATTGGAAAATGTTCATTATTATTTATTCTATTTTCTTATTCTCTTTCTCCTGTTTTATATACACAGCAAATGAGCCTAAAGATGATCAAACTTCATTGAACACAAGTAGTAGTAATGATGGTATGTATGATACTATAGAGATAACGGAAGACAACAATCACCACATAGTCAATGTCAGTACATACGATCCCGAACTAAAACCAACTAATTTAGATCTGACCAGTGAAGATTATCCTAACAGTCAGAATGACGATCATGATCATGAAGACGTTGTTAACAAGTTGTCTAATATTGATTCTACTAACAGCGATTCATCTGTGTATTCCTCGACTGTATCTCACACGGATGATACCACTTCTGATCATCATCATCATCATCATTCATAAATTATTGAGGGATCGAAGTAAGAAACATTCGGGACGAACAACCACTGCAAAAAATATCGGAAATCACAATGATAATTATAAAAATAAATTTTGTGGGAAAATAGATCCTATCAAGGTACTTCATAAACCATTTTGTCCAGGTGAGTGTTGTCGGTCTTTGTTTTCTAGGACAATAACAATAATGTTTGTGTATTTTTCCTCTAAATAAGCGTCTTGTGTTGAGTTGCAAAACATTAGAGTCGGGTGAAATGGTACAGATGCATTAGGTCTCTGTTTTCCGTTAGATCTTCAGATTTAAAAGTGTCTGATACCCTTTTGTTTTACGACTCTATTCTTCTTGAATTATGTTGTTTATGTTTAGTTTTTTCTACCATTATTGGTTATGTCAATACCTTTAATACTTTCTCGTATTTGTCTTGATAATTTCATCTTTTTGTGTTGGTATGGTGACTTGGACCGATATGGATTTGTACTTGGTTCTATAATGTTTCTGGTTGATTGACTGTCTAAGAGATAATTTTCTACTATTTATTTTATTTAAAGACAAACTTTGTTACAAGAAGACACCAAATATATATACGCCACACAAGTCATTAAATTTGTATGTGAGCTGTAATACCGCCCGGACGCCCAAACATCCCACACGATATTAGTAGTATAGTTTATTTCTATGTATCATTTCACCTTAAATTAAGCTAAAGCAAAATATCATTGTCATGAATTATATTGTATGTACAAAAAAGGTTAATTTGTGTACTGCTTCTATTTCGTCCTGTTATTAACAAACTGATAATGATAAAGATAATTCTATTCTGTATTGGTGAAAGGGTTGTAATATTTGAAAATTGAGTCAAATAATACATTCTAGGTTCAGTCTGGCTTATTTGTTAAGCTTAAATCAGCCCATTCGTTTCTTTAGCAGTAATACGATAGTTATCGTCTGATGTTCCAAGTTTGTCGCTTGCAATACTAGACTATATTTCGTAATAATATATTCTACTTTTGCCAGGAAAACACAGACAACATTTTTAGCTTTTATATAAGAGTGAGATGGTTTATTCTGTTTAAATATTCTCTGTAGACTTTCACAGCATTCCTCAATACTACTCTTACTCATTTTTGCTAAAGTTTTTCAATATCGTGTCATGCAGTGTTGTTTCATGGAATATTTTACTTGTAAACAACATGTAGATGATGTTAAAATACCGTATCGTTAAGCATAGAATCACAACAAGTGTACAAGATCAGTGGTTATTCGCACAGGAATGTTGAAGGTCTCATCTTTATAGTGTTACTCTGCAGTGCACGAGTATCGAGTTTAAACGAAGTTTTCATGTTACACTCAAGAAAATGAAGTGTATTATTGCATCGTAATATCTCATAAATTTATTAAGTGTTTAAGCCACAATAGTATGTGTTTGTGACGAATGATAATATTATTACGTTGTAAAGATCTTACCTACTTACTTACGCCTGTTACTCCTCGTGGAGGAGCATAGGCCGCCCACCAGCACTTTCCATCTAATCCTGTCTGGGCAATTCTTTCCAGCTCTTTCCAGTTGTTATTCATCCTCTTCATATCTGCTTCTGTTTCCCGACGTAATGTGTTCTTTAGCCTCCTCTTTTCCTCTTCCCTGCGGGATTTCATGGTAGAGCTTGTCTCGTGATGCAGTTTGATGATTTGCGTAATGCGTGTCTTATCCATTTCCATCGTCTTTCCCTAATTTCCTGTTCATCTGGAAGCTGGTTTGTTCTCTCCCAGAGAAGGCTGCTGCTGATGGTATCCGGTCAATTGATTTTGAGTATATGTTGCGTAGACAACTATTTATAAATACTTGTACCTTCTTGATGATGGTTGTGGAAGTTCTTCAAGTTTCAGCTCCATACCGTAGAACTGTCTTGATGTTCGTATTGAAGATTGTGACTTTGATATTGGTTGAAAGTTGTTTTGAGTTCCATATTTTCTTAAATTGTAGGAATGTGGTCATTGCTTTGCCAGCATATATTAGTTGAACGGATTTCTTAAAGAGAGCAAAAACAAAGATGGGTGCAGAATAATACCAATGAAAAATTGTTTGTTTCGGATCAATAAATAAAGTTTGAAGGGGAAAATTCCACAGCGCTGAACTGGTGATTAAAACTCATAGAGTCAACAAACATTTGATGTTTATGTAACGAAGTAACTGAAGACAGATTAGTGGTAATAAAGATATAGATTGAAATCAGTCAGTTATAAATTAAAGAAAAATGACAATGATATAATCAGACTTCAGAAAGGGTTGATATAATGAACGAATTTCAGTCTCATGACTCAATGTTTCAAAGTGGTAAATCTCTAAACAATTGGTCACATCTCAGGGGACCGTAATATTCAATTTTCAACGTTAGCTGTTTAATTTTCTTTATATGCTTCTCACACCTTTAGTGTATGACTGACTGATATATTGTTATCGTATTCAACAGAATTGTCTGTACATGGGATGAAGATTTCTTGTTAGTCATAATATGTAATTCAGTTCAAGGAGACATTGTGATCCAGAACCACTCACAATTTTCAGTTCAATGTTGTTCCACACTTTTCATCCTTCTATCTCATCCATTCTTTGTAAACAATGATATTGTTATACTATTACTCTTCCTTTCTATGACTCTGATTCTGTTAATCCTCCTCACTAAGTTGATGCCCTGGTATTGCTGGTGTTCGTAAGAGTCCGCCTCCTTTCTTTCGAAACGTTTTTGTTTGACTAGTGCTTACAGTTTCTGCTAGGAAATTTCTACTCACTATCCTCACTCGGTGGGGAATGTTGTTTAAGAAAGTGAGAGGATGAAAAGAGGAAGTTCGTTGCTTAGACTGGATTAGTGAATACAGAATGTAAGAACCCTGATTCTAAACCAGTTTCGTACATGGGCTCAATGATGCCTAGGGAACAAATGGTGTGAACCTGCTTTTGGTCACCGGCTACTACGGGGCGGCATCTCCAAACGTTACACTACCTTGTGGAATAGACCTGATTACTGGACAATGGATAGTGATCGTCTAAAAATAACACCCGCTCCGGTTTTGGTTCTCTGGCAGTACCCTAACCCACGTGGAAATTCTATTTTGTGTAGCCTATTCTGATTTTGGTGCTCATTTGTGCCAGATTTTTTGGGAGCTAAGTAGATGTATATTAAAAGAACATTTAAAGGCGTCAGAACTAATGTCAACACATCATTAAGTCACTGACTGATTAATTTATTCAGGTCTGGAGACGCAAACTTCCTAATCTGGTTAGAAATCCTGGATAATACAACCCAAAGCTGTGTTGCTTAGCATAAATGTGATTATAAATAGTGATTTGTATACAAGATATTATTCTATAGTCATTGGCACTCTTTCTTAACGAAATTTTATTTATTTGACACATAAACATTGATACAATGGGGTACCGAAATTTGTTAACACTGCGCAATTTTTATGTGTGGGCTGGGATACTTCCCGGGTGCTCAAACCGAAGGTGATTTTTTAGAGTACCACTCCTCGAGCCTTTGACCCAGAGGTCCGATCCACAGGGTAGTAGAGTAACGTTCGGTGATAAGGTCTCATGATAGCCAGTCACCAAAAATGGGTTCATACCCCATTTGTTTACCAAGGATTTGCGAGCCTATTTACACATTGATTTGGAATCAAGGTTATCCAACTCTCCTAGGTGGATGCTCTGTATTCACCAAACCGGTCTAAGCACCCGACATTTGTTTTTCATCCTCTCAATTTCGTAAACAACAGTAATACCACGAGAAGGCAGTGAGTACAACTTCCCCTGAAATTAATTAATTTGAATTCTTTAGAATAATATAGTTTTGTTTATATTTTTTAGCTGGATCAATAATGTATCGTTCTATAAATCATATCGATGATCATTCTATAACAACTAATTGTCATACTTCTAAGGTTGCAAACAGCGATTCACCAACTCCACATAAATCTGATTTTTATCCAACTGTAAATATTCGTGCTAAAACATCAGCTACAATGAAATTATCACCGCCTATTGTTAAAATGAAACAAAATAATAAATCATTAGAAAATATGAGTACAATTAATCTAACATCACAATTACATAATAAACTATTTAATCAAGCTCTTAATCAAATGAACTTTTTTACTCGTTTGACAAGTAAGTAAAACTGACAAAAAAAATGATTAGATAACTTCGTTTATTTGATGAACTCTATTTGTTATAACTTATGGTAACTGTATATTATCATATGATAAAGCCATCAATCAGAATCCCTATTTCTATGACGTATTATCCCTGATTTAACCAATTACATGTCCAACTAGTACTAGTAATCTTGATTCAATTGATAATTCCTTATTAGTTCGTGACCCTGCAACTTCTCTCTCTGCTCTGCTCCTTAAGTCCAGAAGTCAGTAATCAACCTCTACTATACGAATATTATATTTCAACTATATGTAGTTTATGTACAGACATATGCGACCACATTACATTCTAAAGTGAAAAGCAACAATAACACTATGATGAAGTCAAAATGTGGTTGTGAGTAGGGTAGACTGTAAATAACAAAATGTTAACAGATTAAGGATAGTAAGTCGTATAACAGTAGTCGGGATCCAATGGTGGTAGTGTCCAGTGCTTCCAGGTTTTCAGTGGTGGCCTCATAATTGGCTGTGCAAGTATAAGGCTTTAAGTAGTTGTACACTTAGTTGATAAGTCACGTTTTTTTAAAAATCTAATCAGGGGTTTGTTTATATTTCACTCAGCTTATTACTTGATATCAGTTCGTTCCTGATTTACTTATGACCACGCTTATGTTTTCCGTCAATTATGTACCTCTAACCTTTTTTTGATAAGAAATTCGATAACTTGAATATTTTAAAGAGATCAAGAACAAAGATTGGTGCAGAATAATATGAATTCATTTTATTTCGTTAGGTTCTCATCAGCTGCTTACAACCTAAATTATTTGAAATTCAACATTATTACAGATATTGACATATTTATACATAAGAGGGTGATTAAAGATGAATAAATGTATTATGGTGAAGCGAAGATTCCGATAAAGTTAATGAGGTTATAAAATTTTGTCTCGAATAAATAGAGTTTGAGAGGGAAAGTTCCGGAACATTGAAATAGTGATTAGAACTCATGGAGTTAACAAACATTAAAGGATTATGTAATTAAGCAACTGAAAATAGATTCATGATAATAAAGAAAGATATGAATTGAGATCAGTCAGTTATGAATTAGAGAAAATGACAATGATGTAATTTAAACTTCAGAAAGAGTTGAAATAATGGATGACTTAACAAATAAAAAGGGGGTTGATGTTATCAGGATAAAGAAAGATTTATTACTGTCTCTTTTTGTATACATAAATCTGGTTTTAGTCGTTTGATTGCTATTGCTTCGACAAATTTCAAAAGGTTGGAGTTTGATTGTGTGTTAATCACATTGAAGGACTTCAGCGTATCGGCTTCATGTCCTGTGTCAAGGAGATGACTTGCGATGGCACTACTGAATGCTTTTAGTCCATTTGATCTTAAACTTTTCGGAATATGTTATTTGAGTCGAATGTAGGCTCTCCTTTCTGTTCTCTACCGTTGTAACTGGTTTGGCAGATACATGTAAATTTGTATACACAGTTGGTGGTAACATGAAAGGATACCAATCGAATTTAGATTGTGTTAAAGAACATGTTATTTTGAACAGGACAATTAGTTTAGCTACAGGATAATTTCTTATCAATGCAGTTTTTAGTCTCATATTAATTAACCCTGTGATATCATTACCTTTGAATTGAAGTTGAATAAAAATAGGCTTTGGTTGAATATTGGTTCAACATTTTCATAAAAGGTCTGCAATGATATGTTTATCCTTAAATTAGTTCTTATTTATTATACATTTTTCAACCGAATTCTTCTTTTAAGTAAATCTGCTTTACAATTTATGAGAGTAATTGTATGGTTTTAATAATGATCTGTTTTTCTTCATTTTAGATGCTATAAAACGTACTGTATTCGGTATATTTTTACAGTTTTTCCCATCAGCTCAAGGTAAATAATTTCAATAAATGTGATTAGTTGGTGTTTTGTAAGTTTTTTTTTATTGGTTGAGATCATGAACCGATTGATGTTAGACCACAATTGAAAACCTGGAAGCATTGAACGGCCGTTTCATCCTATTGTGGAACTCCTCAGCAGTGTGCATCCAAGATCCCGCTCACTATTGATTAACTTCGTGAGGGAATTCTCGGAGTTCTAGTGAGAAGCTGTAACCAGTGGAGCTAATCCGTGTCGGGTAGAGAAAAGTATCTACCTCAGTACAATAGATGGTCGCGCAATCTCATGGATTGGTTGAGGTTAGACATTAACACCGTTGGATGCCGGCTCAGTGGTCTAGTAGATTAAGCGTTCGCGCGCGACACTGAAGGCCATGGGCTCGAATCTCGCAGGCGGGGTCGTGGATGCACACTGCTGAGTCGTCCGGTAATAGGACGAAATGGCCATCCAGTGGTTCCAGGTTTTCATTGGTGGTCTAACATCAATCGGTTCATGATTTCGATCAATAACTTAACAATCTCCACAACCCTATACTGATGTTTTCTTTAGACAAAACATGTTTATTTATTTGAAATATAGTTGGTATTTTAAATATGAGTGAACTAGGTATTTTTACATAAGCGGAATAATACTTCTTAGCTTATACAGTTTCAGCTATGTACAAAAGTGATCAGAGTAACTCATTCATCAGAAAGAACATTTGTTTACTTCTGTCTGTAAAGTATCCGATCATCTGTTCATCTGTGGGTATATAAGGGATTCTAGCTCACATTTATTTAAGTTATTTCGGCAATTATTTATATGCAGGTTGGGAAGCTGCTTAGATACACAGACCAAATCAAGTAGTTTCCTTAGAGGAACATTACCCACCATTCGATTTCAAGATCTAATCTGTAGGGCGATGGAGCAACATCAGGAAGTGCAATGTCGTGGTATTCAGTGACCAAAGTAGGTTAGTAAGCTATTCTTTGAGCTTGAGTCCTCTAGCCCATGTACATCGTTGTGCTTGGAATCAAGACTTCCCAACTTCTCTTTGTGGACCTTCTGTATCCATCAAGCTGGTTTAAGGTTCAGAGTTTCTCTTTTCGTCCTCTCAACCTCATAAATTCTATCCTTGCCACTTTAAGTTAGTGATTAGGAATTCCATGGCAGGAACGCGTGATCATATGAGACTATTTAGAGTAAAATGGTACTTTCAAGTATACCGGGGGATTCAGTGTGGCTATGGCACTTATAATTGCCTAATTTTTGTATGAAGACTACAATAACTACATCGGTGCTCAATTATTATAGTGTATTATGGTCTCCTACAATCCTTCAGTTAATAAATTAGTAAACAAACAGAGTTTTCTGTTGACTACCGCCAGTCATCTTACATTGAGTAGAAGTTTATTCACGTACTTGTAATTCGAAATGATTATATAATTTATGGATTTCCAAACCAAAGTGTACGTGTTACGGAGTTTTTAAACATTTCACCTAATTTATGAAAACCAAATCCCGACCGTGGCTGCTACCTTGACGTGGTGGTCAGGTTTGCCTATCATAATGAACCAATCGAGCTATACTGGCTGGAAAAATCGTTCCTCAAGGTCCTACCATGCCAAGCAGGTTGGTTAAAGAACGTTGAGATTAAAAGCAGCAAACCCAAGGTCCGAAGGCGCAGTCGTACTGATGACTGTACAGAGGTGTGATGGCAGTAAGTTGTTTCCTTCAGACAACCAGTCGACCCTAAAAATGCACATCCCACCTTATCCCACGGTTATCCGTCTCCGGCGGTAAGGTCTCAACAAGTGCGGAGCTAACACAAAAATGTCTCACAAAAAGGTCGTGTGTGACCGACCCTTGGCAGTTGTTCGTTGGGCACTGCGGTCACACTCTCAGGTCACTAAGACCAACTTTAATCCAATTTTCTTTTTTAGGTACCTCAAAAATAACCGTTCCATAGTGTGGACAACCTGGAAGTGATAACTTCCCTCATACCTCTAACAGCACTTAAAATTACTGACTAATGAAAGTCAAATGCTTTAACTACTAAGTCATCAATGTATGTAATTTTGATCATTAGTCTAAATAAAGTGTTGGGGATTATTTTTTCCTCATTATGCGTGACATATTGATAGCAATAATAAAAATGGTAATAATTCATTCTTATAATTGTTAAATACCATATTTTCGTAGGTATAATGTAAAATCAAACTTCTATTTTGAGGTCTAAATTAAACATGTGATTATTGTAGTGTGTCTGTATATGCACTGTATACTTATAGTGTAATGTAATTGAATTAAGAACTACTATAAGTAAACAATAATAGACATTTTTAAAAATCTACTTTAAGTTCAATGTTACAATGGGTGTATACATTAATCATTTCTTTTCTATTTGTCTTTTTCATTTTGTTATTGTCCATTAATAAACTTCTCATTGAAATTTCTGTGTTCCTAATTAATTGTTTATATAAGGTGTTATAGTGTTGCATGTGGTACTATTGTCTGTTATTGATTGATCCATTTCACACCTTCATTTATAATAATAATAATAATAATAATAATAATAATAATAATAATAATAATTTTCTTTTGGATCAGATGAGATTAATTTTTTAGTGCTAGATCATTAATAAGTAGTAAAATGATTTCAATTTACAATCAATTTTTAAACAACACTAGAACAAAAAAGTCAACTCATTTAGAAATGTATACTAACATAAACAATGTATAAGAGAATATGAGAGAACAGATTAGTAAAGTCCTACGAGGGGGGTCATAGATGCACACTGCTGAGGGGTCCTACAATAGGATGAAACGGTTTTCCAGTTCTTGGAAATATTTAATGGTGGTCTAACATCAATCGGTTTATGATCTCAATCAAAGCCCCCAAATGCCCTGGTACGGCCGAGAGTGGGGAGAATCCGCTCTCCCTTTCGAAATTCTCTCACATGGCCACGCGTATATAGCATCTGCCAGAGAAGTCCTACTCACTGCATTCTCGTTTCGGGGGTGATGTGTACGAAATTGACAACACGAAAAGCGAATGTCCGGCAGTTTAACCGGATTGATTCCAAACCAATGGTACACATGGTCTCCAGTATCCTGAGTGAATAAATGGCGTATGAACTAATCGTTGGTCACCGGTTACCATGGGACTGCATCTCCTTACATTGCTCCACTGTTTTGTGGATCAGACCTTCATGTCGAAGGCTCTAGGTGTGGCCTCCTAAGAAAACCACCTACTTCGGTTTGGGCACCCGGGCAGTATCGCAGCCCTCACACTTATCGGATGAGATTTGTGTGGCACATATGTATTTGATGCCTCCTTGTACCAATATCTATGTTTTAAAATAAAGTAAAGAGATTGTTTTTGTATTAATAAGATGAACTTTGAAGTTATATTATGGTGGTACGCACTACAGAGTGTAATCCCTATGACTACTCACTGTAAAGCTTTTTTCAATATATTCCCCTTCATTTTAGTTAACATCATACATTTGTGTGGAAGGTTGTAACACATTTTTCACTCCTTAATAAAGTGGCTTAACTGTTTCTTTCCCCTAAATATCATACTTTCCTAATCTTAACATAGGTTACTCTAGGTAGTTTCATTGATAATGGTAAGCAGTAAGTGGAAGACATCAATAATATAACTTTTACAACTTGTGATAAAATAAATATCGGTAATTAGTTAAAATGTGTAATCCGTGACTTGTTTGGCTTCAAAGACCATATATTCTTTTTTAATCATAACTTCTCATTATGAATGGCTTTCTATGTTTAATAATTCTTCAACTTACATCAGTTCGTCATGAAACTAACCTCTTAGTTAATTACTTGTGCTTATTTGTAAACTTTTTTCTATTTTCACTCTCCTACTTTTATTTCGTTGAACTCTAAATAACCAATAGAATAGTGTTGTGGTTTATAAAGGTGATTAAATCTCGTACCTTGGAATCAGTGGATCGAAGATTGAAGCCACCCACTACGCCTACTTCGGTTTAATCATCTAGCTCGTATAAACAGGTCTCATTAATAACATGGCTAAATGTCGTGTGCATAAACCTCTACTCAGTAAACTATTAATATAGAAATAACCATCTGTTTAGTGTTTTGAAGGTGAATAAAAGAGCATGAATCTTATTCATGTGTAAATCGATTATTACCTGATTTCATTTTGTGTTTTATCATTCCTCTTTATAATGCATAAAAATGTATTTATTCCATAGAACTTTAAATGAAATCTGTTGTGCATATGTTTGCGAGAATTATAAAATGGCATAGTTCACTTGAAAAAAAAAGTCTCAGACTCTGTGTAAATAAGTCAACAGTTTTATTTAAGCCCTTGCTCCCATAGACAATAGATTTAATTAGTTGAAAAGTTTCAATAATTTATCATTGATTTAGTAATAAATGAAAACCTGTTTTAATATACTATCGTTGATAACACAGATCCACATATACTTAGCTGTTCACTTGATAGATGGACGAAGTTTGATAATTCTTTTTCTGGCAATCAAGCTGAAAACAGTTTCTGTCTATTCGAATGATTGAGAATTTTATTACTAGCTTCAAAAATGTCTTGATACCATTTAAAGTGTAAACTTGGTATATTTGATCTATGGTTAACAATATAATTTAGGATGGTACTTTTCAGGTGGATACATTTGCATTCTAACTCTGATGTTTATGAGTGTTGAATCCAGAGTTGATGTTCACTCCGGTACTCGAACCCAATACTGTTCGTTTCAAATGTCATTGTGTACTCCACTTAACCACTGAGTCCTAATAATCACCTGCTTGTTGAATGAGGTAAAGTTTAAATTCACTTGGTATTGTTTTACTTATATCTATCCCTATTGTTATTTAAGATTGTAATTGATCAGTCTCATTGTTTATTTCTTTAGATACTACCAATCTGATTCTACATGATATTATTCCAACAGTAGAAAATTTCCATACAATTAATTATTTATTCAATCCAATTGGTTTTTCTAATCCATTATGTAAAGATTCTATGATGTATTTAACAATGAATCAAATTGAAGGTTTATGGTCTTTACGTAAATGTCTTATATTATTAGATTTACAATATACTTCTATAAATTCTCATTCATTTACATCATTGAATTCAATCAATCCAATGAAAATCAAAGAATGTTCATATGCTATTCAACAATTGAATTTAACATACATAACAAATTCACATTATTTACAATTTGAACAATCATATTCTCAATGGTCATTATATGAATTAGATAAAAGTATTGGACATTTATATATTGCATATTATATTATGCAACATAATAAAACTTTAATACAATCATCATCCTCATCATTATCATCACCATCATCATCATCATATTGTATTGAATGTAAATCATTCACATATTTATCATTATATGATATAAATTGTTGTTGTGAATTGTTTAATTGGAATTGGAAAAAATTGAATATATTTCTTTGGAATAATACTATTGATAACTATAAGGTAAATGATTTTGTTTAATGATTGTATTCTATATTGAACTTTTGTATGGTGGTCCAATTTTAACGATTAGATTGATTAATATTTTAGTTAAAATTTGGGAGTTGGATGTAATCCAATCTAACTGTTCACAATCACTGATTGTCCCAATATATAAGAAAGGATCAAAATCATCTTTTGATAACCATAGAAGGATTAGTTTGACTAATATAGCATCTAAAATACTAACCTCAATAATTATCGGGAGCCTAACAAAGACATGTGAATTGAAAACGCGAGAAAATCAGGCTGACTTCAGACCTACCTGGTTGTGGCTGCATCGACCACATATTCACCATTCGTCAGGTTCTAGAATACAGGCATACTTCTCGGCGTCTAACGATGATGGTCTTTCTTGACTTAAAAGCAGCATTTGACTCGGTAGACCGCGAGATTCTGTGGCAGTGTCTGTCATTGAAAGGCGTACCTCAGAAGTACATAAACCTTGTGAAGGCTCTTTACTCGAACACTAGCAGTCGAGTCAAAGCTTATGGCGAACTGTCATTTGATTTCGCAACCACAAGTGGTGTCCGTCAAGTCTATCCACTTTTTCCATTTTTGTTTAACTTTATCATAGACTTATTGATCGAAATATTTATTTATTTATTTATTTTAACACATAGATATCGGTACAATGAGGCATCAAATACATATGTGCCACACAAATCTCATTCGATATGTGTGAGGGCTGCGATACTGCCCGGGTGCCCAGACCGAAGCAGGTGGTTTTCTTAGGAAGCCACACCTAGAGCCTTCGACATGAAGGTCTGATCCACAAAACAGTGGAGCAATGTAAGGAGATGCAGTCCCATGGTAGCCGGTGACCAACGATTAGTTCATACGCCATTTATTCATTCAGGATACTGGAGACCATGTGTACCATTGGTTTGGAATCCGGTTAAAGTGCCGGACATTCGCTTTTCGTGTTGTCAATTTTGTACACATCACCCCCGAAACGAGAAGGCAGTTAGTAGGACTTCCCTGGCAGATGCTATATACGCGTGGCCATGTGAGAGCATTTGGAGAGGGAGAGCGGATTCTCCCCACTCTCGGCCGTACCAGGGCATTTGGGGGCACTGATGGAAATAACATTCTGGTCAACTGAATTCTGGGGTATTGATCTCCTTCCAGGAGGTCAACTTATCGACTTAGAATACGCAGATGATATAGTCCTGTTTAGTGAAGACGCTGATAAAATGCAGAGTCTTTTGGCAGCACTGAGCAAAAATGCCAGAGTGTTTGGGATGCGCTTCTCCCTCTCTAAATGCAATTTGTTGCTTCAGGACTGGCCTGCGTCAACACCTGAACTTACGATACGTAGTGAAGTAGTCGAGTGGGTTGAAAACTTCATTTATCTTGGAGGTCTGGTCAGCCCTAATAGATTGGTGTCTGACGAAATCTCAGCACGAATTCTAAAAGCTCGTTTGGCTTTTAACAACTTACGTCACCTATGACGAAGGCGAGATATCCGTCCATTAATTAAGGGACGAGTATAATGCGCAGCAGTTCGCTCTGTTCTACTTTACGGCTGCGAAACGTGGTCATTAAGAGTTGAAGATACTTGTAAGCTACTAGTATTTGACCACAGATGTCTTGGAAATATTGCTTGTGTCTTCTGGGATCACCGAATATGTGATAGTGAGGTTAGACGCAGAGTATTAGGGAATGATGGTCAATCGGTTGGTGAGGTTGTGAATCATCATCAACTGAAATGGTTGGGCCACGTGTTACGTATCCCTGAACACCGATTACCACGACGCTCAATGCTGACTAGTGTTGAGGATGGTTGGAATAAAGTTAGGGGTGGTCAAACCAAAACGTGGCATCAGTGCTTGAAGTCACTAACTTGTAGTCTGAGCCATGTTGGTAGATGAAGATTACTTGGTTGGGGTCCGCGTGACTTTCGTAACCAATGGTTGGAGACCCTTGGTGACATGGCTCAGAATCGAACACAATGGCATAGGTGTATACACTCGTTGTCCTCCCTTAAACTATGAGATTAAAACTACTTTATACCGTTCTTTCTACAAACTGATTATTTCTTCCTGTATTATATCCTTATGCACAATCTTTCTTTCATATATTACCACTATTGAGTTAGCTACTTCTATGAATTTGTTGTCCATCTTGTTGTGCTAACGAGGTATGGCAACTTTGACCGATGCATATATGTTCCTGGTCCTACGTTGTGGTTGACTGACTTTTGTTAAATAAAAGCGTGTATCCTTCATACATATATTCCCTGTGATTTTGTTTATAAATTATTTATCTAAATTAATATTTATATTCTTGAGGTAAATGTCGATCTAGTCACAAGTTTGAATCCATTCTACATACTCCAGTTCAAGTAGTTGAATAGCATTAATAATTCTTTTAAAGATAGCTGCTAGCTTAACATCTTTGTTGGGATTGCCTATCATGACTATCTAACCGACTTATACTGCTTGGAATACGCGTTCCCTCGGGTCGTACAATATGAGGCAATTTGGTTGTATAGTGGTAATAATAAACGCTGCAACTTAAGGTTTGAGGGCGAAGTCGTGCTGTTGATTTTAATGGGCTTTGACAGTGGGTCGACAACAATACTAACCAACTTTCCTTTTTGGTTACTCCGTGAAGAAGTATCCTTACACTGTATGAGCAACTGCGAAGTGACGACTGTCCACTCACAATAAAAGTACTCGCGATCATTTTGTTCACAATCAGTAACTCTTGTATAAAATGTTTACTCAAAATTTTATTTGGCAAATGAGTTGAAAAAGATGTAGTCAGGATTTGAATATGATAAAAATCTTGGTATAGTGGAGAATCAGGGGATGTGTTTTACAAAATGAGTTGACAACTTAAAGAAGAAACAAGACATTTAAAACCATGTAATCAATCATTTGATCTAATATTATAAGTTTTATTCAGTTAGGTGAAACATCTTGTTCTGTACGACGTGTACAGCAGGATTTGTACAGATTTATATTCTAAGCCAAGCTTGATAGAATAAAATATCACTATTATGGAATTGTGTTGGGGAATTAGTGACTAACTAACGGATCACTACTAATCCAATACAGCTATCTTTGATTCTATGGCTCCATATCAGATTCCTCTAGCTCATGTACGCGACTCGTTTGGAACTAGAATTCTCCAGCTCTCCTAGGTAGACTATCGTATGCACTTATTAGGTTTAATTACCCAACATTATTTTTCATCCTGATGTTTTGTGGAAATGCCGTCGCCTTATGAAGGGAGTGAATAAGACGATTCTGAAATAAAGTGGTTGATCCACGAATTTATTAGAGCATTTTAAGAGTGAACGAAGATATCCCTCAACCGCTGCCGTACTGGGATATTTGAAAGGACATAGTCGTCTAGTGTCTCCATTATATCAGTAACGAGATTTAAAAATGCTTCAAATTGTAGGACTAACTCTCATGATGTCTATGACTATATCGATAACTATTAACTACACTTTGGTACCATGCTGTCACAAATGTCTTTTTATGTCTTAGCCCTGGGCACTCTTAAACATAAACCTTATACAGGAGATTTATTTAGTAGAGACCAAAACAGATCAATCCAGTTAATTTTTGCCCCAAATGCCCTGGTAAGGTCGAGGGTGGGGAGAGTCCACTCTTCCTCTCGAAATACTCTGACATGCCCACGCGTATACGACCACTATCACGGAATTCATACTCACTTCATTCTTGTGATCAGGGTGTTGTTTACGAAATTGACAACACGAAAAGCGAATGTCCGACACTTTAACCGGGTTGGCGAACATGGTCAGTATACCTAGGGGAGTTGGAAAACCCTCATTCCAAACCAATGGTGCACATGGGCTGGCTCCAGTATCCCGAAGGAACAAATGGTGTATGAACCGATTGTTTGTGACCGACTACCATAGTACTGCATCTCCTAACGTTACTCCACTACCTTGCGGTTTAGGCCTCTAGGTTAAAGGCTCAGGGAGTGGCTCCCCTAAAAAACAACCACCTGTCTGGGTTTGGGTGTCCAAACAGTAGCTGAGCCCTCACACATATCGAATGAGATTTGTGTGACGCATATGTATTTGGTACCTCCTTGTACCAATATCTATGTGTTAAAATAAATAAGTAGTTGATTTTTGACAAAAGAATTCGCCAAATTGAACCAATGTTACAGACAAAAAAATTGCACTGAATTAATTAGTACAAATGAAAGTGCACTCAAAGGTAATTTAATGAAAATCACTCTAAACAAATATTTGGTCTTACAATCGATTTCTATCTAATATGTTTTATTTATGGATTAAACATCCCTAACGCATACTTAACTTACTAATAACCGTGAGTCATTGGTTCAGTAGTTCAACTTTTTAGTTACTAGGTCACGGGTTCGAACCTCGCCACACTGTCTCTAGCTCAATTAATATTATTAGCCCTCACACTTACATTATGGTTCGAAGTCAGGTATGTAATTCGTATCTGGTTGATGAGTCAGTTAAAAAAAAACTGATTTTGTTGACTTGTTATATTTACCTACAGTGTCCTATTGAATAACAGTCTAAATATTTGGACAAACAACCTAATCACAAAAGTCTTAAAATTAATAAACGTGATCACAGATTACGTTACTTTATGACATATCGTATTGGGGTAAAATAATATTCGGTGGTCATTAAGTATCGAATTTTTTATAGGATTTTAGAAATTGTACAAGTCATTATATTCTGCTGTCCTATTCATTCACTATCCATTTTCTTAACGTTTTAACTGACCCATATATGGGGATGAAGTGGACAAGGATTTGTTAGGATGCTTTATTGTCGAAAGTCAATTGATTATGTTTATAGCTTATGGATTCCCAGATTGACAGAGACATGTAAGCAGTGGTTTTACCTTGGTAAATATCCTCTTACTCTTAATAGGTCATCCACTCTTAAATTGTATTATGATACTTTGAGACTTGTTTAGCTTGGCTTATCACATCACCAGTTCTGTCAAGGTTGCAGGTACACCTTGCTGACGAGTGCCTAATAACATGAAACCTAGGTTCAGCTTTTCCAGTCGACTTCCTCCAACCATCATCTTATCTCAACATCGTGCACGCAATATCGAGAAATATACAGAAAGTGAAGTAGTATAAACATTGGGACAATATCATAAATACTAGTAAAGAAGCGAAATGGCTGAGTGGGTAGGTCAACTAATTGATATAAATTTAAAATTTACGTCATGAGTGAATGTCAGTTAAGTTTTCAGATTTGAAATTGCACCAAAAGTAGATTATGTAATAGGCAAACATTAAACCTTCTTCCTGTGTAGAAAGGTCAGGTCAAAAGCATTCGGTGTCACTAGTCGCTGCAAAGCAGAGTATAAAGTGGCTTTCAGTGCTTCTTAACTAATTTGAATAGCCTTGTGTTATCCACCTTATGTAATCATTTTGTTGTTTATAGCTAACCAGTTTAAAGCGGTTACTCTGTTGTTAAGGGATTCGATTTTAATCCACTAAGTTAAACTACATCTCACCTACTTCGGTTTGGAAGAATGGGTAATATCATCAGCCTTTACATTTACAGTATGACTTTAAGTGAAATATACAAATATGCCCGTGGTAGATGAGTTAATAAAAAGTGTACTAATGACCTTTTTATGAATGTGTCTTCTGAATTAATTATAATCACATACTCGTTGTTGATGTTATAGTCCTATACATGATTGTGCATTGCTTCATTACTTAGTTGTACTTATTATTTTTTGTGTAGAGCGTCTATCGATACGTCTTTGTAGTTAATAGTTATTTTGTTAAACTCTACTGTTCTACGCAATACTACACGTCTTACAGCATCTGAGGCCATCAGATTAACTGACTGATGTACTGTATTAAATTAGTAATCTATTTCATGTACTCAATTTTCATATTTTAGTTAACATATTATTAATGAATCAAGAATATTGTTTGATTTCCTCCAAAACAGTGTTGTACATTTCAATATATGATGTTTCCAGTTTAATGAAGTTTAAATAAATTATCTTAGAAAATAGGGTAAGTTTGATATTAGATGACGGAATTATTATGTAAGTATAATTGAATTAAGTGATTCGATATTGTTTGTAGTTTTTCAATCACTTATCATTACAAATGATAAGTGCCCTGGTACGGCCGAGAGTGTGGAGAGTCAGCTCTCCCGCTCGAAATTCTCTCAAGTAGCCACACGTATACAGCCACTGTCAGGGAAGTACTACTCACTGTCTTCTCATGGCGGGGGTGTTGTTTACGAAATTGACAACACGAAAAGCGAATGTCCGGCTCTTTAACCAGGTTAGTGGATATGAAGGGTCCACTTAGGGGAGTTGGAAAACCCTCATTCCTAACCAATGGTGTACATGGGTTCCAGGATCCTAAGCAAACAAATGACGTATGAGCAAACTATTGGGGACCGACTACCATAGTACTGCATCTCCTAACGTTTCTCCACTGCCTTGTGTATTAGAACTTTAGGTCAAGGGCTCGGGGCGTGGCCCCCTGAGAAAAGCACTTGTTTCGATTTGGGCACTCGGACAGTATCCTAGCTCTCATACAAGTCAAATGAGATTGTGTGGAGCATATCTATTTGGTGCCCACTTATATCAAAGTTTATGTGTTTAAATAAATAATCATTACAATTTGAACACTTCGCTTTGTAAGTTAATACATATGAAGAATTTTAATTTTACTGAAATCACTAAACGATTTCCATAACTCTTTACTGACGATTTTCCTTGTTTTTATTTCTATTTATTTTCACTTTTATAGTGTTTCAAATTGCCATCATTTTTATTATCAACTAAATATTCTGAATTATCAACATCATCATTTAAATCTCCTGTTATTCCTGATCTAATCGATTCAACAGATAACAATATAAATGAAAAATGTTCATTGAAAATTATCCTCATTCAGCTGATATGATTATTCAAAGTCGAAATAGTAAATCATCTAAAAGTTTAAAATCATCATCATCTTCATCATCATCCACATCATCAATTAAATCGCATAAAATTAATCGTCCACATTCACATAATGAAGGATTAGTTGTACCAGCTGCTTTAGGTGGATCACATAGATCAACAGCATATATGCGTCTTAATAATCGTGTACGTATTATTGAACGTAATGTTTCTGTCAGTATGAGGTATGTTAATTTTTGTAATATTGTTGTTTTGTCTTTGTCTTTTTTGTTGTTGAATATATTTATTCATCAAAAATGTGATTATATCCCCATTGGACTGTCGTATCTTAGTTGATTAAGCTAATCAGTTTGTATGCATTAAATTTGTTGGTTCAAATTCTACTCCATCTGGTTGAAGTCAGTCAATGAAACCATGTATTAAAGTCATGGGCTTAAATGAATTACATCGAATTCTTCGATTAGTCAGTTAGTGATAATCTGTATTTATTTAAGTTGTGACACTTTATACTCATATTATTGACCCGCTTACGTAAACAAACCAAACAACAGAATAAACTGTACTGAAGAATGATGAGCTATAAATTTGTAAGACAGTAAAGACTGAATCCATTTGTATGTCATATCTAGGATTTTTTGCCGTTGATTTTCTTTCAATCTGCTCCTATATTAGTCAGCTAATAAATGAAAGTAAATTCGCCTTATCAGTCAGTTTACCATTTTTTTCTTGTTAGAAGTAGACAGAGAATGTAATTTTATCATTCATCATATTTTTCAACTTTATATTGAAGAGAAAACCAGTGGAACACATAGTAGTTTACAGAAACTATTCAATGGTTTCAGATGTCGTAAACATTCCAATCGATCTAAGACAATGTTACCACTTAGAATTTTCTATCTTTAATTGTGAAAATCTTGAAAATTAGCGTTTCTTTTTCAAATTGTTCTGAGATGATGAATATTTTAGCTTGGTTAGTACTTGTCTGAGTTTCGATTCCCTTATTTGTCATTTCTTGCCTAGAAGTTTAGTTGTTTTCCTTATTATAGAGCTAATTAGAAACACTACTTACTGTTTGTGGAGAGGAGCATAGGCCACCCACCCGCTGTGCTGTACTTAAGGATCTCGATTTTTCCCTTGTATGTGTGGCGGCTTACTGATGCAGAGGCTGCTGCTACACTAACTGTCTACACCTGAATTTGTTAGTATGTATAGGATTGAAGAACTAGGTCATCTGTGAAGTCCAAATCATCTAGTTGTACCCAATCTGTCCATTGTATTCCGTGCTTCCCCTCAGATATGAAGGTCACCATAATTCCAATTACTAGTTTATCTATTCACATCTCACTTATAACAAAATCATTTATAAATTCTTATCTTTTAAGTATACTACTTGGTTGATGATAATTGAACAAGGTTTACTTTACCTTACTTATCTGGACGTAAATAACGTCCATTTCTGTTTCACTATTCAATGAAATATTTCATTAATCAATTTGACTACAATTCAATATCCAATATGTCATACGATTTCATTATTCAACTCGATATACGCATGTAGACAATAACATGATAAAATATGAAAATAAAAAGCTATTTGGTTATTATGTTAATTATTTATTATTTATTTGTTTAAGCACATAAACGTTGATATAAGGAGGCACCAAATTCGCATGGGTCACACAAAACATTCGGTTTGTATGAGGGCTGAACTACTGTTCGGACACCTGAACCAAGACAGGTGGTTGTTTTTTAGGGGAGCCACTCCCTGAGCCTTTAACCTAGAGGCCTAATCTACAAGGCAGTGGAGTAACGTTAGGAGATGCAGTACCACGGTAGTAGGTGACCAACAATTGGTTCATATACCATTTGTTCCTACAGGATACTGGAGCCAGCCCATGTGAACCATTGGTTTGGGATGAGGGTTTTCCAACTCCCCTAGGTATACTGACCATGTCCGCCAACCCGGTTAAAGAGCCGGATATTCGCTTTTCGTGTTGTCAATTTCGTAAACAACACCCTGATCACAAGAATGAAGTGAGTATGAATTCCGTGATAGTGGTCATATACGCGTGGCCATGTCAGAGTATTTCGAGAGGAAGAGTGGACTCTCTTCACCCTCGACCTTACCAGGGCATTTGGGTGCATCTACGTTATTAACAATAGTTGATGTCTAATAGTGATTTTCAAGAAAAGCAAAGGTCGTACGGAACTATGAATTTGGGATTAATTTTTTCGCGATTACGTTTACAAGGAAGAATATCTGGATTTTTTTTATTCATGGAGCTTTCATCATTCTTCTGAACGACATCATCAACACAAACTTCATTCAATTCAGTGAACAAAACATCATCAAAATACTTTTAATTTTTTTTAACTATAAATTACTCTATTGTTTAATTTATTTTTGAAATAAGGATTAAATGGTTGCAAGACTAATGATGTATCCTATTAAAGAATCCTTAAATAGAAATAAACTATCAGTTCATTCTATCATTATTCTAGATCCGATTGTATTTTAAGGCATAAAAATATGAAATTCTTTTAATCAGTTCTATGTCTTATTACTAGGTGTGTTCATTAGTATTATTTTCACAGTAATGATTTCATTGTATTTTTTGTTATTATTTAGTTTTCAGTCAATTGTCAAATATATCAATGTATAATACTTTTAAGTAGTTCATGTATGATTTTGTAAAATAATTATCATTTAGAATAGTAATAGCATCAGTATAACATGTTTTAGTCAGTCAGGATTTGAATGTGACCAACTTGGTCTCGTAAGGGCTGATGTCACTTCCCGGCTGCCCACACCGTGGAAGGGTATTTCTTGAGAAACCTGAACAGGAAATTGGATTAGTGTCGGTCTTAACGACCTGGGAGCGTGATCGCAGAGCTCAAGGGACAATTGCTTAAGACCGGTTGCTCATGGCCTTTTTGTGGGACGTTTTTAACTTGTTAGCTCCGTTCTTCAAAAGGCCTTACCGCCGGAGACGGAAATCCGTGAGGTAAGGTGAGGTGTGACAATTTAAGGAGGTCAAACTTTCCTAACCCCGTCCTTCCTTGTGAGAAGGCAGCATCGCTGCAGATGCTGGTTGCCCGAAGGAAACACCTTACTGCTGTCACATCCCTCTACATTCAGCAGTACGACTTCGTCCTTGTGTTGCTGCTTTTAGCCTTACCGTTCTCCAATCGACCTGACTGGCATGTTAGAACCTACAGGAACATATGTTCCAGACAATATAGCTCGATCGGTCCATCACGATAGGCAAGCTTAACCACCACGTCATGGTAGAAGCAACGGTCGGGGTATAACATGTATAACGTATGTGATGTACTTGCTAGATTTATGTTTATCCCATAGATTGAATGTATAAACAGACAAAGGAATAAATGAATATTATTCTAATGATATTCCATTTTAAAAAAAGATGGATAGTGGCTAGCAGTGAAATTTAGTTTGACATGCGTTTCGTTCTATTTAGGATTCGTGAGCTGAATGTGTGTGAACAGAGAACACTAGTGGGGATGATCGAATGTATTTGACACTAAATTACAGAGCATCTCAATAAAATCTAAGAACCATATAGTAAATCGTTAGTTAGCAAAATATCAATCCATCATATCAAACTTGACTGTTCCTGTTGCTAACATCAATCCATTGTCTCAGATTTCATTGTTCATGCGTTTTCATACAAATTGCGTTCCGTTCCCGTTCTTCCATCATCGACCCTCTACTGAAACACATTTTATGCCTGACCACCGTTATATACTACTTGTGTGGATATAAATAACCCACACCACAGATGTATCTGCATCTCAGAGTTGATGTTCACAATGGCACCCGAAGCCCGTACTGCTCGCTTCAAATGCAATCGCGTTATCCACTTAGCTACTGAGTCCTGATAGTTGTTTGCTTGTGCAATGGGGCGAAGTTTAAACTCAATTGGTATCGTTTGTTTGAATCTTCCGATTGATTTTTAGGACTAAAATTGATCAGTTTCTTATTAGCATATATGTGCATCCTGTGCGTATTGACTCAATATTTCCTTAATTCACAAGCATGAAAAGTAAAGATGAATAGTGACTAGCAGTGGAATCCAGGACATGCATTGCGCGGTAAAGTAGATGATGCCATAACATCTGAAGCTAGTGGTACTGGGTTTGAGTCCCGAACTGAAAATCAACTCCAGGATTCAGGTACATGCATCTGACGAGTCCCAAGTGGGACGAAAAGCGCGTTCTGGGTTCTACTGCTATCCATCATCCATCTCTGCTTATAATGTCTGCGATTGAAAGCGATATCGAGGTGATCCACACAGATCGTACATACGTCAACAAGAGATTGATCAATTGCAGTCCTAACCATCAATGAGAAGTTTCAAACAACCATTGCAAGATGAATCACACAAGTGATTTTTTTATTTATCAAATAAATGTAATCATGATTAGCTTCGGTAAAATCCTTGTAAATAAAACTGGTGATTTATATACTTCAACAAAATGATGATTGTGTACATACTGCAATAGCTATGAGTTCAATTACTTAGTTAATGTATATGCTAACGGTTAATGACCTACATGAAATTCTGTCATCCTTAAGCTCAATATCTTGGATTATTCCATGTTACAAACTCATGTGATTAATATACATGAAATAACAATGATGATACTCTATCATAAATCGACCGTATATAATTAAACTATTTAAGGTACTACATTGTATAATAGGTGTGCGATATATGTAATATATGTGTCATATATGAAGAATGGTAAAATATATCACACCAATTGATAAGTTAAAGAGAAACTGAAAATTAGAACACTAAATAAATATCATGTGTTAAGTACATTTCATATTAAAATTCCCTTAAAGGATAGATTCAAAATTTTGACATTTTAAATCTTCTTCCTCCTTTTTAACTACTAAATACCTGTTTCTCATTAATATTAAATGTTTAAACATTGAACACATCCAACTTTTCTATGAGTCAAACCTAAACACATTTCGAGCTTATAATGATCACCCATTACTTTTACACACCATTGATTTTCAACAGAAAATTTCCTTATAAAGATAATCATTCGTCCATCAACTTAAAGTCTGGGAAAGATATTATTTTATTTTTTTAAATTTTAACGCATAGATATTGGTACAAGGAGGCACCAAATACATATGCGCCACACAAATCTCATTTGATATGTGTGAGGTCTGTGATACTGCCAGGGTGCCTAAACCGGGGCAGATGGTTTTCTTAGGGGGCCACACCCGGAGCCTTCGACCTGATGGTCTGATCCACAAAGCAGTGGAGCAACGTAAGGAGATGCATTCCCATGGTAACCGGTGTCAAACGACTGGTTCATACATCATTTGTTCCTTCAGGATACTGGAGCCAGCCCATGTACACTATTGGTTTGGAATGAGGGTTTTTCAACTCCCCTAGGTGGACCCTCCATGTCCACCAACCTGGTTAAAGTGTCGGGCATTCGCTTTTCGTGTTGTCAATTTCGTAAACAACCGTAATGCCACGAGAAGGCAGTGAGTAGGACTTCCCTGGCGGAGGTTATATACGCGTGGCCATGTGAGGGCATTTTTAGAGGGAGAGCTGACTCTCCCCACTCTCTGGGCAAAGATATTCGTTGAAAAAATTATCATATCACATTAGTATAATGAGATGAATATATCAAAATACTTAGCAAAGTACATGGAAATACTCTGGTAGCAATTATAATAAGAACAGTGAAACATTTGATGTATACTTAATTCAAAAAGACAATGTAGAAAGATCTGTATAAAGAAATACTAAAATTCTATATTGTGAACAAGTCAAGTATCGAATTCTTTCTATGATTAATTATATATTTTTTATTTGTTGATTTTATAGGTACTTAGAAGAACTTAGTCAAAGTTATCGTCGTCAAATGGAACGTTTAGCACGTTCATTTAATCTTACTTATGCTTGGTTAAAAGTAACAGCTCATAGTGCTGAAGAACGTGATCGTCAACAACAAGTTAGTTAAAATAAATAAAATTAAAATTATTGATTATAATTCATTTTATGCTTATTATTAACATAATATCTGGATTGGTTGAAGTTAAACATTAACACCGTCTGGTGATTTAGCGCTCACGCGTGAGACTGTTAGGTCCTAAGTTGGGATCTTGCGAAGCGGGATCGTGGATGCTCACTGCTGAGGAGGAGTCTCATACTAGAACGAGACGGCCATCCAATGCTTTCAGGTTTTCTATGGTGATCTAGCTTCAATTGACTCATGAATTTAACTATTAAAAATAAATAATATCTTGAGCTAGAATGATTCAAGTTATATGCCCTTTATTCAACATTTATCAATCATAGTTGAGAAATTTGTCTTAATTGAAAAGAATTTATGAAGAACTAAAATTCCTTCATAATCTAAACCATTAAATTCAATAATCATAAATCTGTTGCATTAATAATAATCATTTGCTAAGTGTTACTTAACTTTGAAAGTTGATTCTCTATATTCATTTGAAAAGTTGTGACCAGTTAATATTCAAACATTTTCACATGTGAAAACGATTACCCATCAGTGACATCAGAAAATAGTAGCACATTGTCATGAAATAGTTGAAGTTAGCAATGTAAACTATCAGAAATCAACTCAGCGTTTTAGATGCTAGGCATTTGGTGCAAAACCTTAAAGGTTTTGAGTTCAATCCTTGGTGGGGTTGTGGAAATATAACACACTTAAGAGTTCTGTAATAAGGTGAAGCAACTGCCCAATAGATCATGAAATACGTATACATACTTTTCGAATAGCTGAATATTGCTACCATTAGACTGGCTCAAATGATTTTCTATATTGTTACCTGATGTACAATGATCAGCTAAGGTGAATATCTATCGGTCTAAATTAACACATCTCAGTAATAGGGAAAAACAACCAGACGAGAAGGCCATAAAATCGAGGAACAGACATCACTTGTTTTAAATTATCACTCGTTTTCAACCATGTATTTTAACTAGTTGTGTAAGCTTCAACTATAAAGTATATACCTTTGATTGTAACAAATCTTAGGTGGTGGCGAGTGATAACTGCTAACATTGTTTGATTGAATATATGAATCGTCATCTTCGTTCTTCCTATCGTATCTCACTAACTATCGTAAAACGTTTTGTCAATATTAATCAAATTGGTGTTCTCATTCATCACTTTCTTTTTCATATGTATTTAAATAGAAATGCTTATCTAAATAATAATCAAGAAAATGGGATGTAAGCTGGTAGTGGAATTCAGGATTGGATGTATGTCCGTCTTGGAGTTGACGATCACTTTGTGACTTAAGCTTCTTACCTTTCACTTCAAACACGCAACGCATTATCAACTTAGCTACTGTGTCCAGATGGGTACTCAATTTGATTTAATTTGTAGTGATTTTGGATGTTTGATAGTGAACACCATGTTAGTACTTTAAAATCGATCAAAATAATCAATGCTGAATCTACTTCAAGTTTATTATGTTACCTGAAGAGGGCATCACTGTTGAAAAGTTTAAACCAAACTTATATATTCTAAAGGATATAGTTGTAAATATCTAACTACCCTGCTAATTAATAGTCTAGATAATATTCTGTTTCATTTTCTCTATAATAGATTTCCTTCGTTTCATTCTTGAATCTTTTTCAGCTTTTTACTTATCTCACTCTGTTATATTGTCAAAGTTTATGGTTGTTGTTGGATAACATTGATGCCGATTTTCTTCCTCTAGAAACATATCTTCATGTGTTCTAAGTTTTTCCTCTACAACTTTCACATTTAGTAATATATAAAGTATCCATCCAATATATATCACTTTATACCATAGGATGTTTCCTGTTAATAAACCGTTTTATATTTCTTCTCTAACTGTTGTTATTATTCTGCTAATCTTTTTGAATAGAATCGAAAGTATGTAAATTAATTGTAAATATTCATTACTATAAGCAAAGATGGATTATGACTAGCAGTGAGATCCAGGACGCGCGTTTCGTCCTATTGGGACTCGTTAGCTTGATGTACCTGTATCTCAGAGTTGATGTTCACTCTGGGACTCGATCAATTGCAGTCTTAAACGTCAATGGGAAGATTCAAACAAACAATATCAAGTGAATTTAAATTCACCCATTGCACAAGCAAGCGGCTATCAGAACTCAGTAGCTAAGTGGATAACGCAGTGGCGTTTGAAGCGAGTGGTACGGGGTTCGGATGCCATTGTGAACATGAACTCTGAAATGCAGGTACATCCAGCTCACGAATCCCCAATAGGACAGAACGCATGTCAAACTAGATTTCACTGCTAGCTACTATCCATCTTTGCGTAAAGGACTTGTGAATTATGGCAATATCGAAGCAATACACAGGATGAACATATGCCAATAAGAGACTGGTCAATGGAAAGTTCCAAGAAAACAAAATTAAGTGAATGTTTACTATAGTTTTTAAATTGTAAGCAACTGATGAGAATCTATTAAATAACTGAATTAAAATTTTTGATGTTTAGTTTAGTCAAATTTATCAATGAGAAAAACAACAATAGTAGGATATTAGAAATCGTTATGAATCAAATTAATAATGAAGGTTTGACGCTCAGATGGAAATTTTTGATCTTACTGTACTGTCCACGTGATTATCGTAATCAATTGTTCAGACTCTGGATAACATGGCTCAGAATCGATTACAATTGCGTAGGTGTATGCACTCTTTGTCGTCCCTTTAACTGTGAGATTAAAATCACATTATATCTCTCTTTCTACCCACTAATTCTTTCTTCTTGTACTATATCCTTATACACAATCTTTCTTTTATTTATTACTATCAGTGAATTAAATACTATAATCCGGTGTTCATCTTGCTGTGTTAATGAGGTATGGCAACTTTTACCGATGCATATATGTTCCTGGTCCTATGCTGTAGTTGACTGACTGACTCTACTGTTTATGGTAGATAGTTTAATTGGGTAGCATTTATTATCGTTCTGATTGACATCATTAGTCCCTACATTTTGTAATAGTGAACTTTTTATTTATTCCACTAGTAATATCATTGCAATTAGACAACCATGAACATGAATTCGACTAGAGAAACGTCGAATTTCTGGATTGAGGAAGCTAGCGATTTTAGAGAATTTCTGAAATCATGACATTTAGATCTACTGGTAACTTTGTAGACATATCGACACAGATCAGTCTATCAATCCATAAGATAGATGTCAATCAACCACCACGTGGTCAGAGGTCAACTGAAAAAAGACAGTCAACATAACTAATCACAAATAATACCTTTGAAATGAATTGAAAAGTAATTGCAAAGCTCACTTGCATATAATGTAGACACTGATGATTTTTTTTTCCCTAAAGGACAACAAAATCTCTGTAATCAAACCATTTGGTTCAGAAAACACAAAACTATCAAAAAGATTGTATTTTATGAATATAACACGTGCTTACTCTTGATTTGATATTTTTATTTTATTTAATCAGCATCGTATTTCACAATTAGAATTACAATTGAGTGATTTAACTACACGTATAAAATCTCGATTATTGAATTCATTACCTGCTTCTTCGTCATCTGGTCAACCGGATTTAACATTAACATCTTCTCCTCTATCTTCCAACACTTCCAGTTCATCATCATCAGAATCAGTAGTCACAACACCAGCCAATACTGGAGGGACTGTATCAAGTTCATCTACTTCAAAATCATCAAATTTAGTCACATCACTTACTTCTCCACCACCATTGCCTGATTTTGAAAGTTCTCTAGATTGGAATCCATGGCTTAAATCTCAACATGATGATTGGTATATGATGGTTGATGGTGATATGGTTGTAGGTAATAATAATGAAGATGTTGATGATGCGGAATTTGAATCAGATGATAGTTATCAGACAAATGATGATGTTTATCTATCAAGATTAGATGTTACTACTGCCACATTGTCGAAAAATTATAAAGAAAAATTTAAACAAACTACAACTGGCACTACAAACTCTAAAAGTCATCATATTAACAGTGATAGTGGTGGTAGTAGTGACAACAACCTTCTCAGCCCCAGCAGTAGTAGTGTCAGTAATAATCCAAATGAATACAATGTAAAATCTTTATTCAAGTCATATTTATCTAGGAGAGATTATAAAGATCAACATTATCATATGGAATCATCATCATCATCATCATTGTTCTCAGAATGGAAACAATTCGTACTTGGTTTGTTATGGTTACAGTTCAGTTGGCCTGTATGGTTATATAATTTTGGAGTATTTATTCATGATTTCTGTCAAATGAATACAATGATTTTAAACGTAGGTCAATTGTTTTCCATTCTTTATTGTTTATTTATTTGTTTATTTTTTTAGCTTCTTAATTGGAATAGGTTTTATCACCATAGTCCCCTCTTTACAGTTGATCATGAAGTTTCAAGGTCGAACCCCATCTGACGTAGATTCATCTTATGATTGAACAATACGTAACAAACGACTAACTTCTTATAATATGAAGATACAAATTTCAGAGAGAAACTAGGCTGAATTAAACATTTTATTATTACAATAACTTTGAAGGTAGTTTTTATCTTAAACTCAACAGCAGCTTGGTGCTGTTGGAAGGCTTGTTATCCTGATTTTGATGGTTTCACATTATTACTAGCCCCTCAGTATTACTCATAGCAAACCACACACTATCTGGATCTTTGATTGTTAGGGGAGCCTTTTTAAAATTACCCAATTAGAAGCTATGACTGCCAGTAAAGCTCATGATTTTCGGAATTCTGAAACACTTATCAGTGATAGTGATATAATGACAACAGTGTATTATGTTGAACTTACTACAGTTGGTTATTTTATGGATCACCAGATTCCAATTTAGCTATTAAAATTCGATCATACTCGAGATCTGAGATATATTCCTATTGGTTTGGATTCTTCATGAAGTTGTCATGGTGTACTATTCAGCTATTTTATAACATTAAATAAAACTTTATTTTACTTATTTATTTAAACACATAAACATTGGTACAAGGAGGCACCGAATAGATATACGCCACACAAATCATTCGATTTGTATGTAGCCTGGGATACTGCCCAGGTGCCCAAACCGAAACAGGTGGTTTTTAGGGGGCCACACCCCGAGCATTTGACCTAGAGTTCCAATCCACAAAGCAGTGGCGCAACGTTAGGAGATGCAGTCCCATGGTAGCCGGTAACCAACAATTGGTTCATCACCACTTGTTCCTTCAGGATACTGGATTCCATGTTCACCATTGGTTTGGAATGAAGGTTTTCCAACTCCCCTAGATGGACTCCTCTCCATATCCACCAACTTGGTTAAAGAGCCGGACATTCGCTTTTCGTGTTTTCAATTTCGTAAACAGTAGTGATGCCACGAGAAGGTACTGAGTAGTACTTCCCTGGCAGAGGCTATATACGCGTGGCCATGTGAGAGCATTTAAAGAGGGAGAGCTGACTCTACCCATTCTTGGCCGTATCAGGACATTTGGAGTATTTGTATGGCACATATGTATCTTGTGCCCCCCTTGTACCAATATCTATGTGTTCAAATAAAAAATAAATACATATATTATATAATTCTTGTTTTTTTTTAAAAATTATCTTTTAATGTGTATATAGATATTCAGTTTGATATTTCTTCATATAATATTAGCATCCATTGTTCATTTGATCATTTATTGGATTTGGCTTAGACCTAAAAATCATATGATCAGTAAATTTGATACAGAATTATTATTATTATCTAATTTATATCAAGTATTATATTGTAAAAAAAATCCTCAAAATTCTAATAGTTGTATTGTATATTTGAATCCAATGAATTCTAAACAACATATAACACATTTACTTCCTTCAATCAATATTAATACAACTACTATCAATGATATTAATAATAATAATCCTCACATTATGATAATGTTGGTAGTGAACACCATGATCATGAATATGACAGGAATCAGTCTTTTGACAAAACATCTAGCATTATTCTTACAAATACTATGACTACTACTCATGATAATAGTAATAATAATAATAATAATAATAACCTCACATTACTGATAATGTTAGTGAACATCACGATCATGAATATGACAGGAGACAGTCTTTTGATAAAACATTTAGCATTATTCTTACCGATACTATGACTACTACTAATGATAATGATAGTAATAATAATAATAACAACGACAATATTTCAGCACCCAAATCTTTTACTTGTTGTCAAATGAATGAATTATTTCATACAAATAAACCAACTATTGAAATGACTTATAATCATCAATTAATTAAAACTGATTTTATTAATGAGAATCATTATTCATTAAAAGAAATTAATCAAAATTCTATTCTTACTAATGTATATAATCAATGTATTCATAATATCAATTCATGTTGTTTAATGAAAGAAATACAACTTCATAGAATTGAGGTAAATGATATACTTTTTTTTCAAATGTTTATTTGAATAACTGTTGATAATTTGGAACTGTTTCCGACCCCCCCCCAACTTTTCATTGTATATCATAAGCTTGTTTAGATATTATATTAAGTTAATATGTTGAAATGAAGTTCTGTGATCTGAAAGTAACACATTCGCCTTCCAAAATGCCTTGGTACGGCCAAAAGTGGGGAGACACAGCTATCCCTCTCTAAATACTATCACATGGCCACGCGTATACAACCACTGTCAGGGAAGTCCTACTCACTATCTTCTCGTGACGGGGGTGTTGTTTATGAAATTGAGAGGACGAAAAGCGAATGTCCGGCAGTTTAACCGGATTGGTGGACATGGAGAGTCCATCTAAGAGAGTTGGAAAACCCTGAATTCAAACTAATGATTCACATAGGCTCCAGGATCTTAAGGAAACAAGTGGTGTATGAACCTATTGTTTGTGACCGACTATCATGTGACTGCATCTCCTGATGTTGCTCCACTGACTTGTGGATTAGACCTCTAGGTCAAAGGCCTGGGGTGTGGCCCCCTAAAAAATCCATCTGCTTCACTTTGGGCACCCGGGCAGTATCACAGCCCATACACAATCACAATGAAGTGACGAAAGTTACTGAAAATACTATTCTCACCTCTATTTGACGCATATTTAGCTGGTACCCCTTTATACCAATATTTATGTATTCAAATAAATAAATAAGTAAATAAATAATATTTGAAGGTCATCGAGTCCGATATTTGACTAGGTGTTAGGGATGTTAGATCCCCAGAACTCACTTGTTAAATGCCTTTGTAATTCTATCATAAAATTTGGATCTTTTGTTTTTACTCCAATCGCACGCATTTTTACCTTCATTTCGTATTTACCACTTGCGAAGATCTTAAACGCTATTGGTTCGTTGTATCTTTTAGTATGCTATTTTGTAACGCTTCTGAAGGACAGTTTTATGCTGTACATATACGTTTGATTTGTGCCTGTTATTGTTCGTGCTTCTGGCTGCTTGTGGAACATATTTCCCTCTTCCGAACTTAGACTTCTCTGTCTAGTTTACGGGTCTGGTACGCATCTGAATAGCTAGCTTATCGGTCATTGTTTCACAAAGTTTTCGTTCCGTTCGCAGATCAGGTCAACTCGTAATCTTTTCAAACATAACACTGGGTCATGATTTCAAACTGCTAATTAGTCCCATATAGTCAGTCAACCATAGTTATATGATCTAAAATAGTTGTACGTTGCTTCAGTTTGCCATAGAACAGTACATTCAGGTAAAATCAGAAATATGAATAGGGAATAATTCAAAATAACTATAGTAGCAATGATAATGAGAAAGATTGAACACTGAGAACATCGTAGTCCCATAACAAGATAGAAACAGCTGTTCAGCGCTTTCTGCTTTTCAACGGTTTGTCTGTTTAAGTAAATTCTTTATGTAAACCATCTTTCAGCATTGTTTGATACATTATTCTTTGAAAGTATTCATACTGATTCGGTTCTTCTAGTGATTAACTCAATTTATACCTTTATTATTTTAAAGAGAACAAGAACAAAGATTGGCGCAGAATAATATGAATTCATTTTATTTCGTTAGGTTCTCATCAGCTGCTTACAACCTAAAATATTTGAAATTCAACGTTATTATAGATAATGACATACTTATACATCAGAGGGTGATGAAGGATGAATAAATGTATCATGGTGTAGCGAAGATTCCGATAGAGTTAATGAGGTCATAAAATTTTGTCTCGAGTAAATAGAGTTTGAGAGGGAAAGTTCCGGAACATTGAATTAGTGATTAGAACTCATGAAAATAGATTAATGGTAATAAAGAAAATATGAATTGAAATCAGTCAGTTATGTATGATGTAATTTAAAAGAGTTGGAGTAATGACGCAACAAATAAATAGAGAAATAAATGAATAAAAAGGGGGGTATTGTTACCAGGGTAAAGAAAGATTTATTACTGTCTCTTTTTGTATACATAAATCTGGTTTTAAACGTTTGATTGCTATTGCTTTGGAAAATTTCAAAAGGTTGGAGTTTGATTGTTTGTTAATCACCTTGAAAGACTTCAGCGTACCGACTTCATGTCCTGTGTCAAGGAGATGTCTTGCGATAGCGCTGCTGAATGGTTTTAGTCCATTTGATCTCAAACCCTTCGGAATATGTTATTTGAATTGGACGTAGGCTCTTCTTTCTGTTCTCTACCATTGTAACTGCTTTGGCAGATACATGTAAATTTGTATACACAGTTGGTGATAACATGAAAGGATACCAATCGAATTTAGATTGTGTTAAAGAACATGCTGTCCGGGTGCCCGAACCGAAGCAGGTGGTTTTCTTAGGGGGCCAACCCCCGAGCCTTTGACCTAGAGTTCCAATCCACAAAACAGTGGAGCAACGTTAGGAGATGCAGTCCCATGGTAGCAGGTGACCGACAATTGGTTCATCACCACTTGTTCCAGCAGGATACTGGAGACCACGTGCACCATTGGTTTGGAATGAGGGTTTTCCAACTCCTCTAGGTTTACTTCTCTCCATATCCACCAACTTGGTTAAAGTGCCGGACATTCGCTTTTCGTGTTGTCAATTTCGTAAACAGTAGTAATGTCACGAAAAGATAGTGAGTAGTACTTCCCTGGCAGAGGCTATATACGCGTGGCCATGTGAGAGCATTTCGAGAGGGCGAGCGGGCTCTCCCCACTATCGGCCGTACCAGGGCATTTGGAGGCGGGTTATGCATTGGTTTTAACTGACTTCCTAATTTGTATACATCGTTGACTGACTTAAACTGGGGAATTATTGAAAACCAGAGTGCCAGGATATGAAATTACTCAACAGTCCACATTCACAACGTAGTCGTAGATGGAATCCATGATTTCCACGAATTTCTTTGAATGCATCTTCTGTGCATCATCACTGACTCGGAATGCTATATTTTAGGAAATTTATGTTCTCATTACAATACCAAATTTAGATTTTACTGTAACTCTTTCTCTTTATTTTTAGGGTGATGGCATCTCTTCTCGTGTAGTTAAATGTGATCCTCAACTTAAACACTTTCCATCGTTATTACAACTGCCTACAATTTCCTCTTCATCAGACAATAGTCAATTCAATAAGGGCGAATTGAAGTGTGGAGAGAATGGTAGGCCATTATTTATTTGACTTGATTCTATTTAGCGTCGTACATTTAGACGTGCGTTGTTTTCATTTAAAAATGACTGAAACTGGAACCTATTACCCATCAATATATAAGTGCCAAAATAGGACACACTAATTTGATAATTCGTAATACCCACCTCTTATTTAACGGGTACCATAATAAGGATGAATTAGCAGGTTCCTATCGTAAATGTAAACGTATACAATATCAAAACATACGTTTTAGTAGTCTTTACACTGATAAAGATTGATCAGTTCACTCATGAGTATGAAGAATATATGTTGTCGTTCTTACAAAAAAAAGTTTATATTGTTAATTTACGAAACTACTATTTAAATTTGGTCTAGTACGTGTTTTTCATGCTGTACATTGTTATTGGAGTGTATAAATATGGGAAAGAAAAGTTTGGCTTCAGTTTTTCGTTGATACGTAACTTTCACCTGTATATTGCAACTCTTTAAGTGTAGAGGCGACTTACATTTTTGAAAGATTCGACTTTCAGACAGTTGCTCCCAAGTTCGAGCCCCTCCTCACTTTGAATAACAGGGTTGAGATGATTTTAATGTCAGAACTGATTTCTTACGTTTTGGTTTCGGTATCTAGATTTGAATTGCAGTGTGTATATGAGAGCTATTGATATTAACTAAGTATATTTTGCGTCGGACGTGTTCAAATCTGTTAGCTAGCAGTTGATATCGAAGTACTCTGACCACTAAGCTACCACTCTCAGTCGTTCGTTTCGATAGATTCATCAGGATTGCTTAGTTTGTTTAATCCCATCTATATCATGTTGACCGTCATCGACAGTGACATCGTTAGAAAACTTACATAGGTATGCTAAGGTTTACATATTTGTAAACACTTTTAGCTAGTTAGATGAAAATATCAGTCTATTTTTAGCATCGTTGCGTTCTTAATGGTTTAATTGTGACACACTTACTGTCATTCTAAACATTATCATTAACGCTGACTTAAGATAGGAGTATGTTTTGTAATAAACTATTCTACTAATGTCAAATAAACGCGTTCTACTTATCTTTAAAGACTAATCGTTATTTCCATGTAGATTATTATTTACCATAATTTTCTTTTGTTAAAATTACCATTGTTTCACAGTATATGCATCTGCAGAATGTCAGTAACATGGTGAAGTGTTTTATGTATTAAATGTTAAATGGTTTTGTTGGATGGCTTCTGGAAAGCTCTGTGAAGCCGAAGAGATCCCATCCAATAGAATTTATAGAATATCAACCTTGGATATTGTGATTGGACAGTTATATTAATTTCTTGTTTGCAGGTTGAATTGATTATAATGATGTTTACAGTCTGTATCGAAAACTTTCAATACACCTGTTTTTTGTACATTTTGACATTTACTGCAGTAAACACTTCTCTTGTTTTCTTTAGTTCTTTTGATTTGCGACTTGTGTGGCGGGGAAAGTTTCTATACATTCAAGTACCCAAGTCATATACCGTATTAACCTTAACCACATAGTAAACATAATCGTTTCATAATCAATTACCCCGCATTACATGTCAATTCAGTAATACATTTGTCACAATTGTATTCATACAATTATGAAGATAGTTGTGGATGATGGACATATAATCTTGCAAACAACTGGCAAACATCAAGCATTCACATTTTATATGTCGTTCAGTAAAACGAAACGCAGAGATACACTGAAATCTATGCATTAAAAATGTACTGTTGAATAAGGTCATTATTATTACTACTACGGTGAATGAGATTGTAAATGAGAACATAACCATTATCTAATTGATTTTTATCTATTACAATGGGTATTGTTCTAAATTTAACGTTTAGTTATAAGTATTAGCTGGATGTCATATATATATATATATATATATATATATATATATATATATATATATATATATATATATATATATGGCTGACGTTTTTCAGTAAGATTTTTTCCCTATGGGATGGGGTTGCCGACTCCATGCGTAAACCTCCTCGTTTACCCGGGCTTGGGATCAGCAGTAACTATAGGAGAGCTACGGGTGGAGTTATATATATATATATATATCATTAACGCAAAGTCATTTATAAGTTAAATACAATTGTTCATTTGTGTACTAATATATTTTTGTATTGTTTAGGTAATATACTTTTTCAACTGTTGTACATTATTGAAATACCCAGAATCAAATGAATAATTAATGAATCTCTCTAACTGTTACTTTCAATCAATAATTATTGTTTCATTTTATCCTTATTCATTACTTTTCTATAGATTGTCCACAATCATCTATTTGTCAATTGAATAGATGCTTGGCACAGGAATTGAATAAATCATCAAATAGATCATCTCATGATCATAATAGTAATAATAATAATCTAGAGGTAAATATTGATAATGATGGATTTAATAGTGATAACACTTTCTAAATGATAAGGTCTATTTATGGTTATGGACAATGATTGATATTCAACAAAATTATTATAGCTTATTATATGAATGAATTTTGTGAAGATTTGTTTTTTATTTTTAATATAGTATTTGCCATAGATGAATTTCAATTATAATACCATTGGGAATCAAGAAGCAAAGAACAGTTGTTTTGTTCTAGTATGGTTTCACCCAAATGAGTGATTCTAGTCGTTGAGTGTTCACTTTAATACCTTAAAGTGCCGGATTGGGGTCTCGCAGCTTTTTTTTCAACGTACTAATGTATCAGATATATATATATATATAAACAACCCCTGAGTAGTGACCAATGCTACATTTATGGTTGTTATGGGAATTTGTGAATTAAACTAGGATGTTGCGACTATTTTAGGTGACTGAATTTCACGTGCTCTATGTTGATACTTTATTTGATTGGAGGTTGTCGATAGCTAACCATAGACCTAGGTTTCATTGTTATTTGGGAAATATCAGCAAGTATGAGAAGTTGATTGATCAGGTAGGGAATTTTTTAAAAATCGAATTAGGTAGTTAGGACATGCATTACGTACACTATTCCACTGACTAATTTTGTGAGCGATGATGATTAATGTACACTAATGCATTGAAAAAATGGTAGGGAGGGTCAATCCAATACATGGATCGGTCCATGATGACACTGATTATCTAATTGGTCCATGTAAGTAGGTGCAGATCATCTGGTTGGGTTCCCCGTGATTATTATAACCGGTGTTTAGATAGTTGAAGTGACATTGTTTTAAATCATTCTTCATGGCACAAGTGCGTTCGCTCTTTGTCTTTTCTTAAATCGTAAATTCTTAAATTCTGTATAACTTTTTTCTATTTCACTAATTTATATTTTCGCCTCTAATCGTATCTTATACCTAATATTCTCTGTTTCCATCAGTAATACTATTATCGTCTATTCTACTTTAGAACTCATCTTGCTATACTAATCGGGTATAAAGACTTGAATTGTTTAAACATGTGCTAAGTTCTATCTTGTGTTTGATCGATTGACTTTTTTTTTCCACAATCAATATTTAGCACCATCTCTGTACATCGACTCATCTAGTGACAAACTCCGATTCATCATCAACAACATTTATCAAAAAAATTTCAAAATCAATAAACAATAATCATAAAAGAAAACACAGAAGAAAACGTGAATTCGACAATAATGGATTTATGTAAATTTCTTTCTTCTTCTTCTCCCCCTCCTCCTTCTTTTTCTTCTTCTTCTTCTTTTTCTTCTTTTTCTTTATATATTATTTGTATACTTTCACAAGTTTTAACATATTATGTAAATGAATCTTTCTATATGTCTCTCCCTCTCCCCTCTTTTCCTTTTCAAGTACTTATTGTTTCTGTTTTGTTGTTGTTGTTGTTGTGTATACGTGTTTGTGTCAAGTACACTTTGGTATTGTTTGTGTATATTGTCTATTCACACTTTCTTTTCATATATGAATTCAATTTATGGTATGTAGAATTCAATCATTGTTTTCCTTTTCTTCTTCTATTTCATATTATACTTTAATTGTTCAAATCCAATATCTATCTCTATACATATCAGATATAAGATGTTACCTTAGTTACGAGAATCTTTGTTATTATTATTATTCAATTTGATCTTTTATCTATTGTATTCACATCAGTTTGTAAGATAACTGTTTTCTGTTTTATCTTGTAATCTCAAGAACTCTTCATGGTCTTTATTATTATTATCATCATCGAAATATTCAACATTCCATAGTAAGATCTCCAGGATATAACATTTTTCTTTTCAATGATGAATTTTTGTTAATTTGGCCTAGTTTAATAATTTGATCCATTCTATACTTTTGTTTTTATTATTGATGTTATTGGTGGTGGTGGTGGTGGTGGTAAAGAGAGGGTGAAGGATGTGTATAATTAACTTTATCATCATCATCATTTATTTGTTCTTATTTTGTATAGGGTAACGGTTATTTGTTTATAGTTTTACAACTATTTCTTTTTTGTTTTTGTATATGTAAACATTTACTTCTTCTTGTGTATTTACAAGATTTCAGGGTGTTTCCTCTTGTTATCAAAGAATTTCTTTTTTTTTTTTATAAAGAAAAAAGACAATGCATCTAATTCTTTAAAAATAATGTACAACTGTGTATACATTATATTTTGTTATAAGAACTAAATATAAATTTGATATTTTCTTGTAAATTATATAATTCAAAAGTCGATTGTCTCTCTTACTTTATCTTTAGTCAAGTAATTAGGTAATTAATAATATCACTTAGTGATAATTATCATTAATCAATGTTTGATAATGTCGAATAATTGGAGTAAATAGAGCTGTACTATTTAGACTACAAATTTAAAGCTTGGCTAGTGTCTAATTCTTCTGTTAAATGGGATTGAATTGTACTGTTTCGGGTTGTTACGTGAAAGTCTGGATGATGTCTGGTTCTCCTGAAAACCAATGTAAAATTACCCTGGTTCACAAGGGTACAGTATATATATTAAGTGGATTGTCAATAATAAAACAGTGATAAATTATTCATATTCTAATATATCTTGGTTTCGAGTCCCACGAGCGGGATCGTGGATGCGTACTGCTGAGGACTCTCATTTTAGGATGAAACAGCCTTCCATGTTTTCCATAATGGTCTAGCTTTAATTGACTCATGAATTTAACTACTAAATTATTATAATATCTACAAAATCCCTTTCAGGAATTAGAATTTCTGATGTTTTAAGAGTTAGTATAAGTTATATCTTCAAAGAAATCAGTTTAAACATTGTTTTATAAAATCTACCCAGCCATTATAAACTCGTTTCTAGCGATCTCAGGGTATTGCTTCCTGGTTGTGATTTGTGGAAACAGAATTCTTTGTAATTTACGTTTGTAATCTCTCTGATTTCATATTCCATCGTAACTGTTTTATTGCATTTAGACCTAAGTAATAGAGTCAATAACGAATTCAGAGATCATAGGATCTGTAGGTAACTGGTTAAATGGTATAAGAACACACATTCAACATACATATTGACTAAGGATTATAGTTTGCGATTAGAATTGCATTCATCGTAATAAATCAATCCGGAAACAATTCTCTATCTTTTTATGATTATTATGTTGCATTTTTGTCCACATACGCCGTTGGAATAATTATTATGTTCTTGGCATAAACTCGCATTTGCAAACCCAACTCAATGAATATATATGCGTAAATACATATGTGCATATAATATTGTTTATTAGCGTTTTGATCATTCTTATGACATTTGATGTGTCGTGCGAGCCTCTTTGCATTATATCGCAACAGTCTTATTTTCCTTGAATCCAGTTCAGTCGGTGTACTTTACCTATGTCTAATTTCACAGCCTTAATTTCTTCATTATGGTTCTATACGTTTGATAAACCTTTACCTAGTTCCGAAAATCAGTCTAATGGCCACGTGTACACTAGCTCAGTATTCCCATGCGAAATTTCAAACCAAGTTAAAAAATCAGCACTCGACCTTGAAGGCGACTCAATGTATGATGATCTTAAGAACAAAGTCATTAGTCGAATGCCGTTATCCGACCAACCAACTGGAAGCAAATGGAACACAGCATGTCGCAATTGAAAAGGTACATGATCAGCATACTGGTCACTGGGATAATAAATGTACGAGTATTTTATTACCTATGTCACAGCTCTTACTACAATTTGTGGTCATAAAGGGACACTCCACCGCTGTTAGACCTCGTGGTTACGTGCCGTCTACCGTGAGATCTCACCACTTTTCTACTTGATATAACCACATTCCAGATTACATAAGAGCCTATCTGTAAGATCCATTTTGAATGTTTTGTGTTGGTGAAAATCCCTCCATGTATATACTTGTACTTTGTTCCTATTGATCCCCTTAGTTGTACATTGTTGTATTTTGATTACATTTGAATTGTTAATACTTGTATTTTTTTATTATAGTTTTTGTTTTTCTTACGCATTCACTAAGTTTGTGTTTCTTCCTGAACTGCATCTGTGTTGTTTTACTTGACACTTGTTCTTGGCAGTAGCCATATTGATTTGCTCCTCCTTTTGTGTGTGTTCTATCCAGTCAGGATAGAATAACGTTCATTTGTTGTGACTGGTAATTTTCCCTCATCTTCTATCAACTTCTTTATTTATTGTAATTTAGATTTGATTGATTGAACAATTATTGGTTGAATAGCCGGGTGGTAATATTTGTTTAGGTAACGATTTACATTTAAATTTATGATGAATTATAGAACCGCTATTTACCCGATTACTTGTTTTGATTTCGACGGGAAAGGGCGCGTGTCTAAAGTCTCCGGTCGGCTATTCTTCAACATCCAAACCGTAGTTTGGATTCTACACTATCGTCATACGCCAATTCGTTTACGATTGTGTAATAAGGACAGTTGTCACAATGCTTCCCTTTCTCAGAAATGCGTGGCAAATATTTCAACGTTTATCTTTCAACTCGTACCAGGTTTATTTTTTGTATATGCCTCTCCGGACGACCTACTTGTAGCCAGTGAAAATCATACAGAGCATTTTACTAAAGTGAGAACTCAATTTTAAAATACTAAATGAATAAAATCAGCGATAAGTTCTGTCTAGTATGCTTTCAGTAAACATTCCTTTTTAGAGTTACATGCTGGATTAGGATGTCGACAGATTTTATTCGTTATCTGACACACCAGTAAAAGTGCGCCATCTTGCGGTGTTTAAAACGTCTTCTGTCACTTTTTCCCAGTGGAGTTACAACATCACAGCGCCACCCTCGTGGAAAGACATAAGGTTGTTCGCACTTGATACCCCGACTAGTTATGGCTATATAGTGATTTAAAAACACTGAAAAGTGTTAACTACTCAGGTATTGCTTTGTGATCAGAGCCAATGAAATACACTTATCACTTAAAACGGATTCCTCCAACATCTCCATTAAATCAGTTCTCAATAGCAGGTAAGTAACAACTTGAAATCACTTGATTTCCTCTCTGAAAGACGAAATGTATCTCAAACAATGTACATGATCTTCATGAAAGAATGTTTAGACATTCATCTAGTTATTAAGTACATGCGCTAATTTTAAGATGGTATTATCTTCACGGTATTTACTGACCATGGAACACTTCCTAATCTCCACACTAAATCACGATAAACACAGTGCCGACACAAATTGTTTAATTGTGTCATATCTGATAATAAATAGCATTAACATCAACGACAAGCGGAGGCATTTTTCAAGATAATGATGAGGACTCTAACTGTCTTAAGCTAGCGACATTACAAGCGGGATATTTTAGATTATCGGAAGCGTGGTTTTCTGCCAAAGCTCATTTATAATCCGAAGCTCAGTTGGACGGTGTAAAAAGTATGCTGGAACCCATTGGGAAACAAAATTATGTTAAATATGTTTTACCCTGGAACAAAGTCTATTATCAAACAAAATGGTTTGCATCCCATACAGCCGAAACGAACCAGCATATTCGTTTTTCGGCTTAGGCATCCATAAGGCGTAATAAAGTTGGCACAAGATTTGGACATATTCGCATCGATATCGCCCGATCATTTCCTTCGTCAGAGAATTTGAGTATGTTTTAACATGTATTGACCGAGTCATTTGACGGCCTATGGCTACGTTCCTAAAGGACATGTCAACAGAGTCAAAAGCTAGGGTGCTGATAGAAAATTCGATTTCTTTTAATGGTATAACCGTCATTACAACAGACCAAGGGAGATAGTTCATAGGTAAACCTTTAATAGTGGGCACAAAATAGTGAGTTAGAGCGCGACTTATTCAATATCATGTCATGAACATTCTACTCCACAAACGAATTCCAACCCCTATGAAAGTGCGCTCTCAATTGTATCCTTCGAGCTCGTTATCGGCCTAGTATCCACATTGATCATGAATACCCGCTCGTAATATGCAGAGGATGCAGCCTATTCATACGAAGCGTATTATTTTAAGGGAAGGAAACTGGTGTGGTCAGCCTGCAACCGTGCCCAACTCCTCCTGAGACATGCACATAGACGCATCTGAAAGTCCACATTGTTCTCATTCCAAATATCTTCGAAAGCGACATAAATTTCTTAGACCGACTACGGTAGCGGAATACTTAGTCGATGAGGATAAATCTTATGAAGACAGACTCCATCCCTTGAGATTATTTTTGTTGAGGTATAGGAGAATAAG